GATTCCAGTTGGTGGTGGTTGTCAGTTTGTGGTAGGGCCTCCCAGTATGGGACCCATACTTCTCCTGTCACTTGTGTGTAGTCATGCAAATCATGAGTTTTCGGTGTTGGAACCCTGTAGGCAGTAAAAAGTGTTTTTGTAATGCAAGATCTGCTACACGGCCCTACAAAGGCAAAACTCGGCAACTGCATATTATCAAAACTAAGTTCTGACTCTATGCTCGGTTTTATCTCATGACAAAATATCTTGGTTCAACTATGCTCAGTTTTGAGGAAAGTATTTACAAAATCATTTGTGTTGTCCTGTTTTGTAGTATAACTATCATTCCGTAATATTAAGCTGAGGCAATGACTGTACTTTCAGAATCGTGGGATCTACATGTTTCGGATCAACAATGAACATGTCATTGATGCCACACTGACTGGCGGTCCGGCCCGGTGGGTCACCTGACTTGGTTTTTATTTATTTTTTTACCACGGTATGTTTTCTTTTTTTCCCTTTCTTTATGTCTAAAATCTGCTTCTCTGTTCAGTTACGTCAACCACTCTTGCGCCCCCAACTGTGTGGCTGAGGTTGTGACCTTTGACAAGGAAGACAAGATCATCATCATCTCCAGCCGCAGGATCCCCAAGGGAGAAGAGGTGAGAGATCCAAAGCACTGTCGCCTCTTTCTGAAGTGATGGCATCCAGCAGGTTAGTTGCAGATGAGGTCCATGTTCAACTGTGATGATCATGTCCCTCCCTTCTGCATTTTTCTCCAGCTGACTTATGATTACCAGTTTGACTTTGAAGATGATCAGCACAAGATTCCCTGCCATTGTGGAGCATGGAACTGCCGCAAGTGGATGAACTGACAGGAGGAACGGTGGTAGAGGACGCCAGACGCTCCTGTTTCGGGGCCAGAACATATATGCTTGGGCCAAAGGCTGTTGATTTTTCGTGGTCCAGTCCCCTATTAACTGAGGTCACGGACAGTAGAAGCAACCTGTTCATACATAAATGAAAGCAAAAATGAAATTGACTCTACATTCATAACCAGGAGCCAAAGTTTGAACTGTCGATTTGGGAACAAAACAAGAAAAAACAAGCGGTTCTCTGCCAAAACCGAGCATTTTTTATTTTTTTTCCCTTTCCTCGAGTCCTATTTAATCATGTCCGGACTGCTCCAAACTTAGGTTGATACAAGGTAGATTCTTAAGGTTCTTCGAAAAAGTCGTAGAAAGCCATTTTCAAGAACCGCAACAGGCTGATGCATTAGGTTGCACCTATTACCTGAATACAAAGTTCGCTCATTTGTGTGGAGTAACTGTTTATACTTTGACAAGACAATCCTGCGGTGGCTTATTCAGTAGAACCGTGTATCGTGGGTGGAGACAGAAGAAAGATTCTCTCCAAATACTGTTGATGCTGGGTCTGGTGTCAGAAGATGGCACGTGTTTGTCGTGTAGTTGAAGGTGGGTTAGTGCGACCCATTCTACCTCAGTGAGCATGTAGGTTGTGGCTTTGTAAAATATAGTACTGCTAGTGTAGGAATGGGACTGTGGGAGTTGCTCTTGTTGAAAAAGCTTTTTCGGACATGCAGGGAAAATTTTAGCAGCAGGTTTGCTCTATCTAGATTACAATAATATGACGTAAAGTAACTATCCCATATCTTTGTCACAGATTATGTATGCAGATTACATGTACAGTTTGGGACGAGATTATGCAGTTAGGACTTAAGTCTGAAGCCTATTAGTAGACTCTCATCTTAACACCAGTGCTTCTGGATTTTATAGGGTGAAATACTCGTGTGTGTGTGTGTGTGTGCGTGCGCGCGCGCGCGTGTGTGTGTGTTAATGTTTTACATGCAAACGCACAAAATCAAACTTTAGCTGTGGATGGTGTGGGTTGGTGTTAGACATGGAAACCTGGCTCCACATTCTGATTTAAACATATATGGAATAATTATGGATTTTATTTGAAGTCACAGATTAGTAACTGGTGTTTTGGCGTGGCTACCAAACCTTCATTGAAGGAAGAATATATTTTTTACATTTATTTTTACGGCATTCGAGTAACTATGTCAGAACGATGATGTGACTACTTCTGACAAAATTTTTCCTGTGTTAATTCCAGCATCCCTCCTGTGTTTGCTTCCCTTTTGTTTTCAAACTCCGCACAGCACTCGGATGCCGCTGTCACCCCTGTATGACGTAGGAGTGCACATCTGCACACACCTGTCGTATTCTTACTGTAGTATGCCTTTCCCTGCCTTATTACAGCCAGCAGATTCGGCGTGTAGTGGGTTTACAGGTGGTACTATCTGTCGGAGGCTTGAAGCAAGGCAGCGAAGGGCATAAAAAGGGCATTAGTTTATTTTTACTTTTTAGAAATAACTTTAATCTTGAAAAGGGAGCTGCATTGTGTCTTTGCAACCCTGTATGATTTCCCGCTCTCTCGTTCCTTGACCTATGACCTCATCTGTTAAAAATGCGAAAGTGTACAAATTTTGTATATATATAAACGGGGTGCAAAAAATTTGATCGCTTAAAAATCAATAATAGTTAAATAATCATAGATTTTAAAAAACCAACCACTGGATATCAGTTTATTAAAAGGTTTATATATATATAAATATATAATGGCAGACTTACTATCGTTATGTATATGAATTTTCCTCCTCTGTTAGCATTTCCCACCCCTTTGTGTTCAGACTTTTTGCTGCAAGCTTGCAAGCTGGCCTACTGCAGAAGTATCGAATGTGTTTTCAGCAATGACTTGAATAATGATCATGTGTAAGGCAAGCCCTGTAGCAAAGGAGTTCTGTTTGCCAAGTTTTGGTCGAGTTTCATTTTTAACTATTCACCTGTCGCAAAAATAAAAACGGTGAAACGAAGCCGCAGCAGTTTAATTTTGGACGATTGTTCACGTATTTGCTAATCGTGCTACTACTAGTTTGTCCAAATCTGACCTTCTGGAGTGGTTACGTTGAGAAGCAATGAAAGATTTTAATGGAAATTTCAAATTTGAAACCCCAAACACTATTGGCATCATCAGTGTCACTGTTATGCTCATTGTCATTTCTTTTGGAAAAGCATGCGTGAAACTAGATAATCATCCTGTCGTCATATTTTTAGCCGCTGACATCACCTATGCGTAGATGAGGATGAACTGTTTTCTCAGTGTTCGTGAAATACTACTTTAGAGGGCTAGACTTTTGCACAAAAAATGTAATCAGGAGTTGTGATTTTTTATTTTTTTTTTCCTTTTCATTTTTATTAAATGTTTGTCTTTAGGGGGGCAAGTATGACGGAGCATACTAAAACCCACGTTTGCCTGAACTATTTTGACCTGTTTTATTTTGGATCTTAAATTCTCTGCAAACTTAATTTATGAAAAATGATTATATTGAAGGTTTTTTAAAGCATTAGCTAATTTTTAAGAACATGCTTCTGTACAGCACAGCTCATTTAGGGGAGATGACTTAAGATTATAATTTCTATTGTATGTGGCATGTTTTGTATGGATATAATTTTGAACTGTGTATATATATTTTTGACAGCAGAAGTTGTATGTTTCTCTTTCTATACGGCTCCCCCCTTTCCATTTCTCACTGTTTCTGCTTTATTTCGTTCAGAAAAATAAAACTGAAATTTAAATATATCTGTATTGTTCTGTATTGGTTTTATTTATCACAACCTGTTTTGACAGTAACACTAAGGAAATTTTGCTCTGGATTGTATAGTTTCAAGCCGCCCCCCCCCCCCCAAAAAAAAAGAGGAACTGAACTTTCTTACACTTATTTTTCAATGCATTTGTGATAAACCGTCGTCACAATGGATGAGTCAATAGCCGTCATGAAGTCTGCTGTACCTCAAGAGTTATTGCAGCTGTGTTGTCAGGAGTCGCATTTGGGCTAGAGCAACATATTCTGTGGGGGAGGTATCTGGGGATTTTGGTAAATGTGTGTTGATCAAGAAGCCGTAGCCTCAGTGTAATAAGGTCCTAGTTTTCAGGGCCTTCTGGATGTTATGCAGACTACAGTGATTTGAAAATGACCATTTCTCAAAATTGCCAGCGTTCCTAAGTTATAGCTTTGCTCTGATAAACATCCTTGGTGATCCTAGTTTCTGACTTATGGTTTTTAGAGGTTGATGGCTGCTTCTCTCTAGGTCTGCCTCCTTCAGTGGCTGTCACTTGAGCAGTACAGTTCCAGGGCTGGAGTCCCATTTCCAAAAGATGTTTTGGATTTGCACTTTTACAGCTAAAATGTTGTTTTTCATGTTGGAGATCTGTTTGTGCTGAATTGCATTGCATGTCTCCCTGCTGAGGACCTTACTGGAGCATAATGGATTGAGTAATTCAAGTAGAGATTCATCAAAATTCAGTAGCAAATGGGTCAGAGGACTGAGCCTTGGGGTAAAATACAGAGGGTGTAGACAGACAGAACATCTCTACTTTTGTTTTTCTAGCATTGCAGACAGTATGGGGTCTTGGTCAAACTCTTCTACTTTAATAATGAATTGAATTTGCAGCAAACTGCTCAAATGAGGTGTTTATATCTCTGCTAGACCTCACAGGGCAGAAGGGAGTCCTGCCTTGCAGGCCTTGGTCCACACATGCGGCCATATCTGGGGTGACTGTTTAAAGGTGCCCAGAAAGTACTGGAAGCTTTAAAGGACCACTTTATCAACCACCCCAATTTGACAGAGAGGTCTCTGTACAGTGATGATTCACTAACAGCAACACGGTAAATAAAAATCAAACTTCAGTGTCTTTAATGTAAATGTCTAATGTAAAGACTCATCTGTTATATATAAAAACATATATGCTGCATGTTGAAATCACTAAGACGGAAGGCTTTAAAGCGGGTGGAAGAGTGGTTCATGCAGAATTTTGTGCCATCAATGAGTTTCAGACAGGTGAAGGTCAACTTAGAACATCCTATGATGGTAGAGTAGCACTGTACATTTTATTTTTCTCCTGATAAAATAAACCAAAGGAATCAAGATGCAAGAGAAAATAGGAAAAAGGCATTTATTACAGTTTCACTTACATTTTACAAACTCCTCCTGCAAGATTTGCTTTACAACAAAAAATTTGAAAATCTCAAGTATTGTAGCTTATTGAATTTCCATAACTCTGGCTTCAAAACACTTGCCAGCAAAAACTCAGCATTACTCCTGTCTTAATTTTAGATTGCATAACACTTTTATGCCCTGTAAACAGAAACACACCTACACATTTCCTTGTCATCAGAAGCACTGCAAATAGCTGAAGTCCAACTTGATTACTCACATGTAGAGTGGCTGTACGAAAGAGGCATTTCACCTTTGTGTGACCAGACTGTTAATACATTTGTATAATTTGGAGTAGGATTCACTCCAAGTATAAGGTATGAAAACTCAGAAACATTAACCTTGTTACTCACTGTCAAACTTTCTAGTTGCCGTAATTTCCGGTGCTTCCTGCTAGCTACTCATTAACAAAAATCTCTTTTTAGCTTCGAACTGACCACGAGACCAGAAAAAGTGATGCTTAATGAAAAATCATATCTATCTTCTTGATAATACACCCCACACCTCAATTTATTGTAATCATACATGACACACGTCATAATTCCTTAACAACTTCGTCAGTATGGTTTCAATTCAATCAGAAATTTCACTTTTCTTTCAGGAAGTGGGGTTAAGTGAAGTTTCCATTGCATCGGTTTCGGCCACATTACACAAAGGAAATCAGATGGCATTTAGTAGTGCGGTTGTTGTTTACTTGGGGAAATCCCTTCAGCAGTTTGTTACAAGCTATTTTTCGGGGGGCAAGAAAAATGACAGCAGTAAGACTAGATAACTACTATCTGTTTAAAGAAATACAGCATAGAAAAATAAACCCCGTTCTAACTATATCAGAATTACAAATGCAGCTACAAAGGTGTCACATTAGGCTGGGGTGAACTGTGAAAAGGATTTGGCCATCTGGTGAGTATTCAAAGCTACTAACGTCCAAAGCGGAAAGATAGTTAGTCAGAATTCGGAGTGCATTAGTAACCTTCTTCATTTTCTGTAACTGGCGTAAGGCAGGGAACAACCCAGGATGGGGCACCAACCGATTGCAGGGCACTGCAATAGTAACAGAAATTCCTGAATGCTTCTAAGGAAAGCCTCAAAAATTGTGGCGGTGTATAGCAACCACAGAGAAACTACTGGCAAAAAGGAACAGCGATTTAACCTGAAGCAGGGTAAACACCGCGAAAGTACAGCCGCAAAAACGCCAGTGAACTGAATCGGCACCTTTGTTGTCTTATGGGAGTTCTTAAATCCAATGATTGCTCTGCATAGTCATATAACGGCCATAAAAACAAATAGGAGACCATTTTACAGGACCAAGTACTCCTCATGGTGCAAACACCTCCCTATCAGAACACCCCAACAAACACTAAGAAATTCTATAGTGGATTCAAACATCACTAAACCTTTATGGGCAGCTCAGTGCAACAAGTACATTTCCAGCACCTTCATTCCTTAAACTGTAGGCATGTTTTCATGAAGAATGATGAAATACCCCACTACACACAGCTCAGGATTTGTGTGACTGAGGCTGTTCTGTAGGTAAAAGGGTAATAATATAAGGGTAACAATATATCCTTAATATTGTTAGGTATTTTTATTATTTTATCCGCCCTTGTACAAACAGCACCCCAGAAAGGGCACAACACCACAGGCACTAGTACTGGCTTTAAAAATACAACTGTATTGTAGTGTTTAATACATCTCATAATAAACATGCCTTGTATAAAATTTCACCCAGTTTCCCAATTCATTTCATGGGGGGACAAGGCTATGTTCTTCTGTTTCAGCCGGAAGGAGGTTACCCCTGGAGTCTGCTCATTATACTAAGCTGTTCGCTGGGTGAAGTCCTACATCACAATTAGGTTAGCAGGAGTACAAGGTGTTCCTGTGAAACTTGGCAATAAAAATGAGAATTACCCCTTGCACACTGGAAACATAGCTACATTTATTAAAGGCGCTGTATAATTATAAAAAAAGTAAAAAGATTAAAACCTCAGGTTTTAATCTATAAGTACAGCGGTATTCCTTACGGATAATTCCAAAGCTGGGAACAACCATAGTTTTTACTACTAGAAAAAAAAAAACACAAAAATTTATACAACTTATTTACAGTTTGTGTATGGAGGAAAAGGGGAAAAATGCACAAAAAAAAAAAACACGCATTTTGCAAGTATGTTACATGCAGGTATATTTACAAGTATAAAAAAGAACGTTCATCTTTCCAGGGAAGAACATGAAAATCTATAAAAGCTGTATAAATAAATATAGTACCATTGAAGTTGTAAACGTTCAGTTTATTACAGATCATTTGTACCTTGTATCTGATGGGGAAGAGAAGAATACAGTAGTTTGTGAAGTGGGACGAAATGACTGGACTCATCTATATACAGAATACAGATATATTTTACAAACTGCCATTTCATTCACTTCATTTGCTCAGTGTTTCGGACACCATCAGTGAATAAAGGGAGAAACTATGTTTTGGGACTAGCAGCATTTTGAGCCTGAGTGGCAATGTCACCAAGAAACCTCTTTTCCTGCAAACCATTCTCACGATACAGGATGCAACTGGCTGTAAGTGGTGACATGGGGAGTCTCCGGCTCAGAGCCAGTCCGTCTTACTGGTCGTACAGCACCGTCTCTTTAACCGGCTTCCCTGGTGTCCTGCAAACTCATCACAACTACTTCTTGGCTTTAAAGGTTACCTGAAACCTTCACCGTTTCAAAACGTTGAGATCGTTGCCTATACAGCATGATGAAGCATTTGATGCTCTGATTATCTGGAAAGGATTGTTCGTGAGCAGGTGATCGGTTCAGACGCCTCAAAGAGCTGCACGGCGGCTCTCAGAAGAGTGGCTACAATATCAGCACCACTTTGACACCTTTGCAGGTTGCGCACCAATCACATGACTTTTGGACAGTGTCGACTTGATTTGCGAGCACCTGGATAGTCATTTCATCAGCTGGAAAGAGGCTCTCTTCCCGTCTTGAGCGCATAGCTCACACAGTTTGGAACGAACGCTCTCCATCATTAACCTGTGAGGCAGGTCCCACAGGGCACCTCTCCAGCCTGTGGCCTGGTTCTCTGGAGCTAAAACACACGTAGGAGATGCTACACCCTGCCTGTATGTTTACGAGGCAATTTACCTCATTTTTGAAGTTTTTTTTTCTTTTCTTTTCACATTATCAGCACAGCAAAATGAAGCAGCCTTGCAGGGAAAAGAAGAAACACAAAGTAAAGCAAATACCACAAAATTAATAAATACCCACTAAAAATCCCTAAAATAAAAGTTAAAAGAAGGTCGCCAAAGTAATATATATATATATATATGCAATGGAGAAAGTTTAGACAAAAAAAAAAAACTAAGAATAAAAGAAAACAAAAATCGCTATCATTAAAATTCCTGCCATAAACAGAAAATTTTGAAAGTAGTAGCACTTAAAATGGGCAGCCAGCTTGGAAAGGGCCGGACAATCATGGGTAGGGTAGGGGGAGCCGAGTGGGTGTGGGGAGGGCCAGGCAGACGGTAAACAAAGAATGGGCGGGAAAGGAGGGGCAGAGTTCTCAGTAGTTTTGGCTGAAAATGTGAGGTAGGCCTTGTCACAACCTGGACTGTGACTATAAAAACTGGCAGGTCTTCTTAAAATTGTCCTTTGTCTCCTCTCTTGTGCGTCTCCTACAACAAATGTAGTAAAAAATGACAACAAACGTGTGCTCAGATCTTAATGTCCTCCTGCACACTCAACTGGGACAGTGTCTTCTTGATGCGCAGAGCTGTCAGTCGGGCCGCCCCGTTGGCGTACCAACACTCCCGCATGATCTTCGCCATCACACGCAAGGCCTGCATTGGGGGGGGGGGGAGAGACGTCAGCTTCAATGGATGGATGGAGGGCAGCCGACACACAGCCCATGTGGCAAGGCGGCCCGACCTCGTACCTCGTAACTGTGCCACCAGTTGGGCACACTGGGACGAAGCCTCTGCTCACACACCACCTTCCTCATCTCCTCGATGGACGGGTCAGGGGGTACCAGGTCGAAGTAAGGCAGCTGGTACTCTTCGTGGACTCCTGGGCACATGACAGTGTCCTCACAACCTGACTGTACTACCAAAAGTCCACTTTGGGGCAAACTAATCTGCATCACGCTAGGTAACGAGGCATCGGCCTGCACAGAACTCCGCCACTAACACCCTTGTATTTTCACAGGCACAATACGTTAATGTTAAAGCTTCATTTAATTAACCAGTTTCAAAACTAAACAGGATATTGGCATGGAATACAGAACCATGACATGTACTAGTTCATACCCCTTGATTAACAATTTCAAAAACAGATGGTGACTTGTTCATATTATAGTCCAACCATATAGCTGAAAGTGATTTTTTGTAATTTAAATATTTTGTCATTTGCCAAGACTACTAATTTTGTTGTTGTTGTAAACCATAAAACTCAGCTCAGAAGATCAGGAAGGCCTTGCACCCCCCCTATTTTGTCACAACCCGGCATCTCACCCCCAGTGTTGCAGCGGCGTGCTATCTCCCAGTACACGAGGCCCAAAGCGTAGATGTCGGCGCACTTGAACGAGTCAAAGTGCTTCATGTTGATGGTCTCATCCAAGACCTCAGGGGCCATGTACCTGACATGCAAGACAAACGCTCTCAGATTCACAGAAACCACATGACTTCCTGATCATTCTCAGCCTCGGCTGAAATATACAAGCAGCAGAACTGAACCTCTTATTTGAAAGTGTCATTGGGCACTCGAGTGACTACTATGTCAGGCTTACTAATCAAAACCGGCTAAAGACTGCTGGCCAGTAACATCAGAGGGAGTAGTAACTGTGTTAGAGGCAGAGCTCTGAGCTGACAGTTTGTGAAAACGCGTGAAGGAAGCAGGTGGTCAGGGCTGCATGGTCAGTCTGGGGACTGGCGGGGTGGGGGGGGGTACAGTTAATGTGGAGTATGTGTGATGTACCTCTTGGTTCCCACACGCTGGTTGGGAGCAATGTCGATGGTGTCAGTGATGGACTCGTGGCGCACGGCCAGGCCCAGGTCTGCGATTGCACACGTGCAGTTCTTCTTCACCAGGATGTTCTTGGATTTGAGGTCACGGTGGGCGATCCCCGGCTTACCTGGGCAATGAAACACGGATTCACCTCATTGCATCGTTCGTATCTGCTTATCACAAGTTCCCATAGCTAGATATTTAATCGGAGCAACCTTCTGGCTACAAGTGAACAACTTTAACCGAGTAACCAACTTCCATGCGAGAAAAGCCCCAGATCTTCACCCTCCTCCGTGCTCTGACTACAGCCTCACGTCACCCAATAATCAAGTTCGATGGTCTTACCCTGTGTGCCCAGGATCTCCATGTGCAGGTGTGCCAGACCACTGGCCGCCGAGAGGGTCAGCTTGACCATGCCCTCGATGGAGACGGTGTAGTAGTTCAGGTAGTCAAACAAGGAGCCATGCTCGTGGTAGTCAGATACCAGCCACAACTGAGTCCAGGTGCCGTTGTCTGCAGGACGTCAGAGATATAGTCTAGTGAATGAGCCAGAAGATGACTGACCCTGGAATCCCTGTGACGATGCTCACAGAAATCCAGGTGCTACAGCTTGAACAAAAACAAACTCCCTGACTGTCAGAGTCGGGCAGGAGCTGGAGTCGGCCGCGCGTACCTTTGTTGTCGGCGGCGATGAAGCCAAGGATGTTCTCGTGCCGAAGCATGATGGTCTGGTAGATTTCAGCCTCGCGGAACCAGGAGCGTTCCTCGCGGGATGAGAAGATCTTGACGGCCACGTCGCCGCCGCGCCACTTGCCCCGCCACACCTCCCCGAAGCGGCCTTTCCCGATGATCTCCTGCAGCACGATGGTCCGCGCCACAGTCCGCTGTACAAACAGGGGCAGGCCTGGCAGACCAGCCCACAGCACATTTTAGAGGCAAGCGAGGGTCACACGTATCACATTGCACTCGGACCCAAGAGGATAATTTGGCACGGATTTGCAATCGAGCGACAAACAGGCATCGGTGTCTAGTTTCAGGTGACCTTGCGTTGCTGCCATATTAGCTTACGTGTGTCCCCTGCGGGGCATCTCTGTGAGACCCGTTAGCATCTGGGACTGTGCTGAGCACTTTAAAATAGTAACGCTGGGCATCAATTACGGTTAACCTGTAAGGCCGGGCTCTGGGTGCGATAGAGGAAAGAACTGTGTGATAAGGGGATGGAAGAAAGGAAGGAACAGGGGTGGGATGAGGGCAGCCAAGGGAAGGGAGGAAAAAAAGTTTTGACACTGGCACAAAGATAACAGAGACAAGAAAATGTGCTGGGGTGTGGAGGGACCGTGACTGATTGGGCATCAGGGCCTGGGGTATGGAAAACAGAAACACAGCAGTGAAAGGGTGGAACACGAACGGCGGAGCTTTCTGCATACCGGAACCAGAACCGGAGGTGGACAGGTCAAAGATGAGGTCCTGCAGGGTCTTGTCCTTGGCCAGATAGAGATGATCGCAGGAGGGGTCCTCTACGTCCAGCCGCTGCCGGTGGCTGTATGCGCGCTGGTGGTGCTGGAACAGGAAGACGCCCACGACGAACAGCACGCACAGAAGGAACACGGGGCCCGCGATGACGGCCACCAGCTCCACGGGCCCCAGCCAGCCCTCATCTGCCTGCTTCTCTGCCGTTCCTGGAGAGAGAGATGTTTCCGGGGACCGGTTGACATGAGCGTAGAAACACCATGTGACCTTTACATGGAACAGACGTGTGTGTTTGAACAAAAGCCACATTATACGGCACCGGCGGGGATTTCAACAGTCATTAAAGCAAACGAAAGGAGCAGTGGAACTTTCTTCGATCGCTAATCCACTATCAGGAGAGACATGGAAGGAGCGAATCATTGCCCAAATTATAGTGCAGAATGAACCGTAGGATTGGGGGGGGTCAGGAACGACCCCACAGTGTCAAGCACACCCAGTGCACAGCAGCACTGCGCCTCACCAATGGGGGCCTTGAGGTCGACGCTGTTGCAGTAGTCAGTGTAGCAGCAGTGGGTGTTGAGCAGCCCCTCGGCGCTCAGGCAGTAGAAGGGCTGCCCCGGCGGCACCAGCTTGTCCCGCGTGATGCAGATGCGGATGTGGAGCTCCTGGCCCTCGATGTGGGAGGTGGACACCATACAGGCCCCGTCTGTCTCGCACTCATAGTCGGTCTTCTCGCACTGCGTGCAGTTGCACCTCAAAGCTGTGCAGCAAGGAGCAAACAGAGAGGTGGGGGGTGTGGGTGAGACGGGGTGGGTTCGGTGAACATGTGGGAACAAGGCAAAGCTACTATCATCATAAGGTGAGGTGTCTGAAAACCGACCACCAGGGGGCGCACAACATAAACCAGAATGACAACGCAAGCTCCTTCAAAGGACTAAGTTACGGTGCCCGTTTGCTTGACAGTGTCACATGAAACACACTACAGCTGCAAGTGAACTGGATGAGACAAGATTGTGAAGTGGCAGAATAGTTTAACGTGTTGCACATGGCTCCTTGCACATGCATGCCTGGTCTTAATGCGTTTATAGTAGCAGGAGCAGCCAAACATTCAATGGATTAGACAGGGATACAGTGACGTTGCTGATATACTAAAATTTCTACTGTTAAAATATCCCTGCGCAGAGGGGCAAGAAAATACAGGACGCCTATAAATCAAATGAGTGTCTGTATTTACAAAAATAGTTATGAATAAAAAAAAGGCAATGGAGTCTATTCCATAGCACAGCCATCGTCTCTGGAACTGGCAGCATCCAAAGCCTATGGAGTGTCTGTCCCAGTCTGTCTGTCGAGAGCCGCTGAGTGAAAGTGCAACAGGTGCTTGCTGAAATGAGGTGTAGCTCATGGCTAACGAGAGACACCACACACACACACACACACACACACACACACCGTCTGCGTCCTTATCCTGAACCAGAGCTCAATAACACTCTGCTTCGAATGAACATTCTCTTCATCACTTAAAATAGTATTTCATCATCTTTGACTAAAATCAATCCAGGAGATCTTTCTTGAAATGTTCACGCACTCGTTTTGTTGGAATAGCAATCTCTCCATTTCCTCCGAAGTTTCTCCACCCCCAAAGTCCACATGCCATTATTTGCTCATTTTATTTAAACAAAAGCAATTCCACGTCTATTATTATGCAAAGGTTATCGATTGAAATTGCCACTGAACTGAATATGCAGCCTCATTTTTAAGCCTTTCTACCCCTAGTATTAGAGGACGGCCTGACATTCCAGACGTAGGATGTCTCAGATCAGATTTTGTGTGATGGGAATGTCAGACTAGTGTCCTACAGCGGGGTTTGGAAGCGTTATCAGGGGGTTTGAGACAGTCCTGGGGACCACGCACAGGCTCCAAGCAGGAGTCAGGATACCAGCAGACGTCTTTAGCGGAATCATTCCACGGTAGCGCCGTCCAAATGTGCTGTGGACGGCAGCCAGCCGATTACGGTATCGGACCTGTAGGCTTCCCATAAGTCCCCTCTGGGTCGACCTCACCACTCCCACAGGCCTGCGAGGGAGCCGGTTGCGACATAAACATCCACACTCATATTGCGACACACTTCTGAGACAAGCGTGTAAAATTTATGGCTCCCAGTTCATGCGACAGAAAAGAAGCCACAAAGTACCAAATAACAGGAGGTGGAGCTTCTCCAAGTTGACAATGGTGTTCAAGCACAAGGAATTTCCTGTCCATTACAGAGGTGGCCAGGCCCTGATAACAAGGCAAAACAGCCACTATATCCACTACTGAGCCCACGACTGCTGGAATGTCTCATGTTATTCTAAAAAGCCAACAAAAAAAGCTCTCATTGTCTTACTCCAGTAATCTATACTGGCAAACTGACAGGCCCAATCATTTAGTAATTAATAATTCATAATGAGTAGTAGGACTTTTGACTAACCATATTTCAAGGAAAACTAATGCTGTGAATTTCCTAATGGCTTGCATTTCCAGAACAAAAAATGTCAAGCAAATACTTTCTAATATCTATTCTACTTTAACCTTTGACTACAGGGTTAGATATGATCTCCAGTACATCTGCTTCAGCGATCCCATTCCTAGCGGGAGCCTTCAGCCAGAGTGCTTCCAGAGGAGTGACTTTCTCACGGAAAAAGGACGACGCTCACATCTGAGGGATTAGAAACAGGCCTAGGGGTAGACAAGAACACACAACCACACAACGCTGCGCTCGTCCAGTCCAATGGAACGCAGGTCTGCATGTGGACAGTGTAGATCAGCTAAAAGGGCGCGGAGGGTACAGACTTCAGGCTATACCTTATTGCTCTTTCGCCAGTCTGTCTGACAGTCAGCTCTTTGGTTCTCAAACTGGGGTGGGGGGGGAGAGACCTTACACCATCTTCTTTTGCATATATTTAGGCTTGCTTGCTACAGGGGCCCCGTATGCAAACACGCACGTGTGCACTCACGGACAGTGCATATATTCCTATCATTGTGCGGAGTCTCCATTCATTTCTATGGGTAAAACCTAAATCCTGACTAAGACAACCTTAACCATAGGTAACAAAACCACACAATTCCTTTTGGTATTTTTTTTTTTTTTTAAATCTATTAATTGTAGCCACAGATTTTTATGAAATTGAGTTTTCCCCAAAAATGTCCCCAAATGATCAAAATAAATATTTAAATCAAAAAGTGTGGATGGATGGATGGACAGGTACAGGGCACGAGTATAGACCAGAAAAATATACAAATAAAAACTCTCAAGCCACATGGAAAGTCTTTTGTAAAAACACAGATAAATATTTAAGATATAAATTAATTTAGGACTTCTTCAGGATCTGAACAACCAGACATAAGTGGGCAGAAATCATTCAAGTCGCTAAAACAAGAGCCTGTAGCGTAACGTCAAGTCAGCCTCAATGCAATGAACTTAAATGAGAAAAAAAAAAATTCAAGCTGTTGTATTGGTTAACATAATACAAATTTCCCAAGTGTGAATAACACACATATAAATCAACCCCTTCTCCTTGTTTACCCAAATGACTGCCTTGGAACACAAGGAGCAAGAGAGGGGGTTTCTGTTTTCCTTGCCATTGGCGACTCGAACAAAACAATGAGCACATCCAAGTGCATTAGGGTGCGAGGGTGTCTGGATAATCAGAGCCACGTCTCTGCATCGTCTGGAGACTCAGATAACGGTTCATTCAACGTTTTCCCACCCATTTATGATTACATGACAATTTCCGGATTGTGCAAAACTAAGTGATTCCTTGGATAAGCTGGTAGCCAAGTGAGAGAAAAAAAGAAAATAGGGGGGGGGGGGGGGGGGGGGGGGGGGAGGGCAAGTTAAATAAGCACCAGCAGGGTCCACAGAAACCACGCAGTGAATGCGACTTTTCCCAGACCGATCACCAGGAGTTCAGCATGACACCTTACTGACAGATGCGCATTGGTTGCAAGAGGAGTTCTCCGGAGCTTCTTTGTTTGTATGTTTGTGCTCGCATGCATGCAGGAGGTCAAACTGGTGCCCCCCCGCCCCCCCTGCATCTCCACCTCAACCTTTGGAAACCAAATCTGACCATTAGAACATCAGTACCATTGTCCTTCCTTTAGGCAAGAACTTTCCAGAGTACATAACTGCAAGAGGTGACTGTTATAATCAGATGGATAACAATGCGGCATGCAGGGTGTGTCTGCAGACACATGCGCATACGTAAGAGGGCGCGTGAGTGAGCAGTGCTGAACGGCGAATTGCCGCACGCCCCGGAAGCCAGTGCAGTCGCACCGACCCTTTGTGTGAACATTAGGCCGCGTGAGAAAAGGCAGGAGAGAGCGCATGTGAAAGGGTTGGTGAGATACCTGCTTGCTGGGTGGGGGTTGGGGGGCGGGGGGCAGGGTTAAAAAAGCAGTGGAGCAGACAGAGAGGCATTTAACCCCCAACTGCGAGAGGTCTGCCAGCAAGGCCAGCTGCAGGCATCATTAAACACAGTCTAGACTCTGACTTAAGAGATTGCTTTAATTTCACATGACCATTTTATAGCCACTATTGAGATTTAATCTCTACCAAGGAAAAAAAGGTTCGAATGTGAAAACTGCTGCAATAAGACCCTCTTCCTCAAAGGGAAGTGGTATGACTTTACCGAAACTACACATCGAAGGCGGAGCGCTGCGTGGGACCTGCGTCACAATTTGGTTAAAAAGTCTAAAACATACCACAGGGCTTCTCAGGAATTTATCGACGTCAGATCTTAATGTCAAATCCATGACATTTCTCAGTCTCTGAAACTCGGATTTCAGAATAACAACAAACGACAAAGAATATAAAATAAATCCTAATAAACCCCCAGCAATGATCATCGCCTTCAAAAGAAGCAGCGCTGCAATCGTTTTATTATTTAAAGTGCAGACAGCTTCACCAAAGTACCTAACGGAGTCACCCAGGCGAGCTGTTCTGGTCTGTTCTCTGCTACAGCACAGCCACTGTCCCCGTAGTCACGTTCTCGTGCATCCCGCGGGGCACGCCAGCTCTAGGACCCGTCCCAGCTTTGGGCCCAGCTTCCGATCCGGAGCGTGCCACGCCGGCACCCCTCCGGAGGAGCAGTGCGTCATGCTTCCTTTACGGGCCGCTCCAATCTGTCACGCTCAGACGAGCGCTCGGCTCGCCTTTATTACGCAACAGACACAAACAAAAACAGCCGTTTAACATTGTCTCAGGTTTTCCGGGGGGAATATTCTGCCCTATAGCAAGGCTGCCGTTGCATATTGCCACCATTGCACTTACATACACACTGACGTAAAGTGTACTTGACTCGACATTTTGTTGAACATCATAAGTAACAAAAGGCCTTGAGCAAATAATGCAGACTTGATGTAATGCAAGACTAATAGATTTACAGCCCCCCACCCCCCAAAAATATTCCAGATGGGAAAAAAGGTCAGCTGATGGTCTGGCATTTAGTAAAGTCTACCTTCAATAATAAATATAAATTAGCATTAAACCATAATAGCATAATTGCATAAATGATACATTGTACATTATATTAAAAAATAAGAAAAAGACCAAGGAAATAAATCAAACAATAACTGAAAGAGGAAAAACTAGAAATAAAGAAAACAGACACAGGAAATCATTCAGGCACGTGCCTCAGTAACACAATAATATCTCCCAGCCCAGGTCACACCAAGGCCAGTCTGTCTACATTTGCAATTAAGGTAATACACCCCCAAACAACCCTTTTCAATCAATAGACATTACTGGACATTCCATTAACGCAGAAATACCCTCCCCATGCTCAGTGGCAAGTCTGAGAGAACAGACGCCCCCCCCAAACCCAATTTAACCATGACCCTGACCTCAGATGCATGACTAACAGCCTTCCCAACAGCCATGCAAGCATCCGCGCACAATTATGCGTACACACAAGCTCACGCACGCACGCGCGCGTGCGTGCACACACCCACCCACCAAAGAGCTGTTTGTAGGCTCTTTGGCTTTCATCCTTAAAGACATGAGTACACACGCATAGCTATGCTTTGTCTGCTCATTTAATAAAACACGAATCTGACATAAATTGTTTTACTTGCTCATCCCCCCCCAAGGAGCCCAGTTTAAAATTTTCCTAAGTTGGAAATTATCTTTGGCAAAATTACATACAGATGGGTTTTTAAAAAAATACACATCAGCAGTAACACTGATAAAATGTTCAATTTCTCCACAGCACAGAATCAAAAGAATTTGATTCGGGTCTCAAAGCTGTAAACACTCAATTCAAAGTGGAACATTGTACTTTCTAATTAAATACCATGCAGTTTAATGACATGAAGTTGCTAAGCTGGCCTCAGTGTGTGACCATGGTGGCCATGTGTGTACCTCCTGACGGACTGGCATCCCATCCAGGGCGTGCCCTGAGCTTCCGAGGGCAGGCTCCAATCTCCCTGGAAACCTGTCCTGGATAAGCAACTACACGAAAACCAACCAATGATTAAAGAAAACTTTTCTACCCCTAAAAAAACTCTTTGCATAAATTAATTTTGTTAGCAATTTCAGTGTAAAGTCCCAAAAAAAAAAAAAAAAAAAACAGACGTTTTGCTGATGAAAAACCCGCAGAAAGACAGGCCCGTTTCACTCTGGGCACAACGACATCAGGGTGGCACAGATCTGAATGTTCACTTGTGCATGCAGGAGTGTCAAGCAAGTCCAGCCATGTCTATAAGAGGAGAGGAGAAAATGGGGGGGGGGGGAAACAACTTTGTGCAGTGACTGTGAAAATAACGTAGCCTGCTTTTGACAGTAATATCAAACAGCAGGGGACGAAATAACCTACGGGCAATGTGCCTCTTAAGGCTCCTCTACAACAGTCACACCTCTGGACAAATGCCACAGACATTTACCATACATTTCAGCTACAGCATACTGAATTCCTTCAAGAATTAATGTCTCATTCCTGAAAGCCTTTCCTGGTTGCTGAAACAGGTTTAATTACACCTAGAATAAACTGTTCCACTTGTCTGAGAACAATTGCACTTCAACATAAAAAAAAAATGTCTAATGAACAGCACACAATTCAGATCTCCCAATTAACTTACATTTAACTGAAAAGTACCCACAGTTATACACTTTTAACCAGCTGGGTTGTTTACTGGAACAATTCATGCCAAATAGCCGCTCAACGGCATTACGGTAGAGGTTTGGACTCACATCTTTCAGATAAGGAGCCCATGTCTTCAACCTCCACAATACACGCTGTCCATCTTTAAGTAGTAAGATTAATAACAAGCAAGCTGTGGTAATAATCTCATTGCCAGACCTGACTTGGCACTTGTATCACATTTAAAGGTGGACATGTTTATGAACGGTCACTGGCAGGTCTCCTAACTCAGAGGATTAGCAGAGTCAGCGTGGTTCTCAGAGCGTGTGAGAGCTCTTACGACGGCACTCCAAAATGCTGCTAAACAGGCCATTGGCTCCCGCTGCACATGCCTGCTTAATAACCCCCCCCCCGACACCTCGACGCAAGGCCACCAGCCCAGCTGGTCAAACCCCGAATACGAAGAGCATCACCTTCAGCTCAAAAGACTTTCTCCTCACTGTGGCCACTGTGTTGACAACGGAGTGTGATATTTGAGCCACACAGTCAAAAGTGAATTTTCACAAAAATTAGGTATTTATTAGTGATTTTTCCCCCACCTTTTTTACAATATGCCAATCATCTTTCCACTAAGTCCATTTCACCATTTGTTTTGGGATCTTTTTTAATTATAGAGGGAGTGTATTACAGTTCAAATTAATATGACAGAGCACCACAAACCCAACAACCCTGCTGATGCAGACAGAACTCAAGAGTCAGAGGATAGGGTAACGAATCCATCGCCTTCAGTGTGGCAAGCCGTGACAAGAGAACATCCTCCCCTCCTGAAGGGTGCGAAGTGACAGGTTCTAGGCCCAAACATGCAATCCTGCCATAGAAGTGTCCCTAAAAACGTCTTTCTACTAGAATACTAAAGACGTCGCATTTCCTCATTAAATTAATATTAAAATTCGAAAAGAGCATAAGGGTCTGCTGTGGAGCAGACTGGAGCAATGACGCAGCACAATAACCCCTATTCTAAATCAAAAAGGACGTTTCTCACTTCATTCTAAATCCACTATCCGTTGCCTTTTCAAATCCATCGCCTTTCTGTGGAGTAAAGTGTGGACGCTACACCTTAAACAAGCAATTATGTAAGAAAGTAAACATCATGCGTAACCCTGACTAGCAGAGTAATGGATTCATAATGACAAATAAAGGCAGCAGGGAAAAAATATTTTTCGACATCGGCCTTGTGCTTTTAATGAAACAGTGAAACTGCTCGGCATTTTTACACCAAAGACAAAAATAAAGCCGTCAGCGTCTTAGATGGAACCAGACAAGCTCAGCCAAAAAGACAAGAGGCAGCTGTTCAGTCCACCTCAGGTGCAAAAACGGCCACGTTTACCCTCATTTTCATCACAAAGCGCCCAGACTTCAACTTTGACTTTGGTCTGGACGGGATGAATGCAAGGCTGCCGTGACAGTTGGTCACAAAGCGGCCCCTTATTTACATGCAAAGCAGCAAAACACGTTACAGCGGCAAGGGCATATCTCGTTTGGTCATCGGGAATATCAGCTTTACTGCCCGATCAGGAAAACACTCACTTTACCATAGCACGTTTTGTAGCAATTTAACTCACATATAGTTTTTGATCATGTAAGGATTACTTGACACACATATTACAAATCCGTCGTACGAATTGTTCTGCAGACAGACGTACTTCAAAAGATCACTGGTTTAAACCAATAGACGTGATATTCAGTAAAGTGGGGAGTCATTAAATCAAGCAATTGTCAGAGTAGCCTACATGCATTTCTTTACTTTCCAATTTAACAAATTTGTACCACATTCACGTATGGGCCAGCACACACCCAAAATATATTATAATTATTGAGAATTGCCGTACAAACGTCACCCAGCCTGTCATGGTAAGAGGAACTTGATTATTTAAAACGTTTGTTTCCCCATTCCCCTTATCCCCCCATTGGTAGCCCCTTTAATTCAACCTGTTCAATGTAAACAAGCTTCACGACAGCAGAAAAATCAATTTTGAAAGTAAAATTCATGAACGAAAAGGGTAAAGATCAGTTTAATATGCGGTGTCCGGTCGCATTGACAATCACCCCGAAACATGCAACCTTTAAACACACCACAGGCTCCGCAGCGGAGCCGCATGCACGTACGCGCACGTACGCGCACACCCGGGGGCGAGCAACGCGACGGAGTCGAAACCGCTTGTTTTGGTCCGCTGTGATACGAGACTAATGGATCAGATAACTTTCATTACAACATACGGGTGCTTTTTTTTAATTCAGCAATTTCGTACGTGCCGTGAATACACAGCACACGGACATGCTGCTTTATACTGGGTCATTATTATTACAAAACGCTGCTGTTCACCAAAAAGACTGGCCTGAACCCATGTCTGGTTTCATCTCAATGAAGGTAACCGGTGCCATTACCCAATGACAAAATAATCTAGATGGTCAAGCACCATCTGGAGCCCCCAAACGTTAAATCTAAAACCTAGAAAAATAAAAAATAAACACGGCAACAGTGGAAAAAATAATAGTAAGATCACGGTATCTGTTCAATGACAATTTAGTTAGCTGGTCAGCTTTCAGTACCCATGATGAAGCAGCATCATACATTTTACAATGGAAAAATGGATTAGTGTGCCGTCTGATAGCCTAATAACACCGGGGTCCGATTACCTTGCCATCTTACAGACATCAGTCCCAGTTAAGCTAGCTTAGCTTTCTCACGTTAAGGGGGGCAGCGCTACAAAGAGCCGAATAATATTTATGGTTATAAAAAAAAAAATAAACAAGTTGGCCATAGTCTCCAAATGACAAAAATAAAATTCCACCGCGGAAATCTATCCGACTAAATCCGCCGGATCGCTAAAGGTGAGACGAGTGATTGTCGCCCACTCGGTTAACAGCCATTTATCGATCGAAACAATACATGGAATCCGAAAGGTGGGGATGTACAACTGATACTGAATCATTAACTGCAATTAACAGATTTACCACGATATAAATGATCGGTGATGAATGGCGGCAGGAAAAAATAATAATGCTAGTTTAATAGCAAGCAAACTATAAATCAGCATGATCTCACGCCTGAGTGACTGTCCCAGGCAGCGCCATGTTAAGCGATCATGGTAGGAAATGCCTAGTGCTCCAACTCGCCTTACACATCGCGATAAAATAAATAAATAGGTACACAGGAGATAGGCAAGGATAAATCAAATGTTTTCTTGTACTTACCGACTGAAGCTCTAAATAGGCCAGCCAGGGCCAGCAGTGTTAAAATCGTTCGTCTTGTAGCCATGTCTGCAAGATTCCCATCGCTTTGCATTGATACATTCAAAGTGTGATATTGACAAGGGAGCCAGACCTTAAACACACAGCGAGCGCGGCCAGCCAGGCGCTTAAAGGGATACGCCGCTTAAAGGGGACGCCACGCCGCTCCGGCCCTTTTGTTGTGGTGAGACATTTTCCCTTTCTGTGGCTGTGCAGGACAAACACAGTGGAAAGTGAGGGGCAGCCTTAGCTTAAAAGGTTAGTTCGGGACATGAGTCAGAAAGCATATTTGAAACGCAAATCCAGACGAGCGTCTGTGCATTTGCTTAAGATCTGCCAACATGCGATCGTTGGCTATGTCAGAATGCGCCGCAAGTGTGCGTATTTAGTCTGTTCGATTTAAAGTTTTTCTTCCGGAAATTTTTATATAAACCTTAGCCACATAAGGAAATCTGCGCGGATCATTTGAAAATACATCCAGTTTACGTCATTCCGTATATATTCTTTAAATGAACGCGAATTCTTTCAATATGTAAAATAATTGGTTTATCCTGCGCATTATGTGTAATGTTAATCTTAAATAACCTAGGAAAAACAGAAAAGATGGTTTAGCTAATATACTGTAAACCCACTCTATTATTTTTTTCAATAAGTAATCAGAATGTTCATTGGTACTGAGGAAAGCCTTCACAATTTAGAATATCCGCAGTCATGCTATACACACATAATGTTTTAATGCAGAAAAATGCAAAAAAGCTAGTTCACAAACAACACACAACAAGCATCTGTAAATGCATGCATAACTCAGAAGCCGATTCGCCTGGACGGCCTCCACGTTCAAAAGCATTGGCAAGCGACTGGATAAAGAGTGGAGTTTGTGAGAATCTTGATCTCAGCCACAAAATAAGCTTCTAAAGATTTTCTTCCAAGGCTTTCTGGCAAGAAGCGAGGGATGTGAGAATCTTCCAGACAGATGGGCTGGTTTGAGCTCTTGGCATAGGAGAAGACATTGGCAGCTTTGCACAGACTGGGACCTCGGTACAACTGATGATGTTCTACCAGTCTGTTGTCTCCCATTGTCTGTCACAGACAACCATCTTTCATGGCACTTTCCGCTCGCCTTGCCAAGGTGGTCAAAACAACTGGACAGAAAAAGTAACATTTGAATGCCCTCTCGCAAGGATCCCCTTGGATGAGCAGAGCTCTGCATCGTGGCTTAAGTAGAAGGTTATGGACTAAATAGACCCTACTGTTTAGGTATCCTTTATTTGTTAGTCCAGTGTGAATTAAATTATTAACAGCATGTCAGTCTTTTTTTTTACATGTCTTATTAGTCTCGTTAAAAAACCCTATTTAAAACATGGATCGGTCACAGCATTTTGACCTAAGCATGAGTTAAGTTCCACCTTAAAATGTATTTTCCACCTTAATTGTCAAGGATGGCATGAAGCGTGATAACTGGAAGAGAAAAGAGCACAGATAGTTTTTTTTCAATGTAAGAGCATCTATGTGTTAAATTAGTCCCTGAAAGACTGTGTGCTTGTTTAAAAAGAACTTTACAGTTTTTGGTACACAGACATATTGATGTCTATGATCTGTAGGCAGCCATGAAAACAGGGTTCTTACAGGGTGCATGAATGACCTGTTAGGTATATCTGTCCTTTTTTATCACTCCATACATTTTAGCATCTTTCTTCTGCCCTTGTGATAAATTGATGAATGTGTTACCGAAGCAACATGTTCAAAAAATTATATATTCCCTGTAGACACAAAAATGTATCACTAGGATTCCAAATCTCGCCTGTGGCCAAGCTCATTCGTATTTGCCCGAGAAAGAGTGTGTTTAACATCTACAGTTTTCCTTTGCAATCTTAAAGCATTATCTATTTAGTTACCTATCACTTTTCCCTCCATGGGGATGCTGTCCCCAACTTTGGTCTGCCACTGCAACATGTAGCCGAAAGCTTAGCTGTTATCAAGCTGTCAAATGTATCTGCAGATTTCTCAGTACAGACCGTGTGTGTGCGTGTGTGTGCTGTGTCCAAATTTCAAGGCTGTGCAACTTGGAATGAGCCTACTGAGACCGTGAGAGAGACACAGAGAGGAACAGAAGACATAGCTGAGTGTTGGTCAGTGTTTAGGAAACAAGGACAGAGATACCCCTGCAATCTCATGAACACCCCCCCCCCCCCCTCAACTACACATACACACGCTCTTTTAAAAATAGCCCCTCACCCTAACTTACCAGACAGACAGGGGCTTTGAAGAAGTGTTATCTCTCTGAAGTCCTGAATACAGACAGATATATCCTCAGACAGGCATGTACGGGGTCCAGATATAGACAAACGGGTGGACATGTGGATTTATTGTGTCATTCCTATGCAAACAACAATATCTATGCTTATGCAATTGTGCATATATTCAAATTTTCAAAATTGTAAGTATATATATATGACTGTGTATGTTTGTGTTCAGCTGGGGAGTACTGCCAGTAATGCCCAGATATGGCAATTGCGTTGCCATGGAAAAGTTATCTGTGATATTTGTCTGCACGGGAGTAAATATAGCTCCATATGTAATTTGATCACAGGTGGTGGGCTGAATTTGATTCAAACTCAGATTCCTGTCCCCGAGTGCCAAGCCGCTTACTGGCTGTTGATCTTGAGGGTCATAAACCCTAGCATTTATAATCTTTCAACAGCAGCAAAACATTTTTGGACATGATTGTTGAAAACCCAGCTCATACTAAATAGTTAATCAGTTACTGGGTAAAAGGAGTTGGTCTAATATGATTCACTAGTGGTTTGAGTATTCCATGAACTAGCAAGCAACAATAGTGCACGTGTCAACATGGGCAGTCATGGAAGTTGCTGATGTCAACATTAAATGCGAGATTACGATACAGCTAAATTTTGTAGCCAAACACAGGCAATGACACAACACCATCTAGTGAACAGAGTATAGTACTACAAGTTGAATTGCTTTTTATTTATTTATTTATATTTATTTATTAAATTCCCTGGGAAACGGGCAGTACACGCAGGAAGTACAAAATCATATTAAAATAAAAGTGCAGGAGAAATAGATTTTTAATATAAATGACGAATTTTATTAAATTTCCCTTTGAAATCCTTTAAATGTGTTCAGCTTAGAATGAGATTAATGATTATACCATCCTATCTCTAAACATAGTCACAGTGATTTACAAATATAAATACTATGTTGAATTTAATTATAAAGATATTATAAAAAATAAACTGAAAACATACAAATACCAGCATAAAAATACTTTGACAGCAAGCTGCATTTAAATTCAGTGCTCGCCAGGGATACATATGCCAACATGTCTCTTTTTAGAATAGGGAGTTGAGTAATAGTGCAACAGAGACATTTGTCTACCTATCTTTATGGAAATCCCTCACCGTCTGCACAATGCAATTATAGGGGCCGTATTAAGAGGACGTCCAAACTAATTATGCAGAGCTTACACTAGTAACCCTTAGAGTTATGTGAAACTCTGACTCACCCTGCCCACGCTCACTTTTACAGAAACGCAGCCTTGCACATCTGAACTTTCACACATCCCAGCATGCCACACAATACTGAGGTTTACTATGCCAATAAGAAGAGCATCGATTACCTTTCCTTGTGCTTGGCTTTGGGGCGACGTGTGTGACAGACCCACCGGACAGTTATACAGTACGGCGAGTGAAAAGCTGACAGACTGTGTGATATGTGGTGTCACACAGACAGCTCTGCAGTGCACAGTGCTTCCATCAGAACAGATTTAAGATCAGATCTCTCTCACTCCATAGCTCTGGCCAGGCTGCGGCACACTCTCCGTGGCCCCAGTATCGCATGGAAAGCCCAACAGAGCTGCACCCTTCAGAGTGAGTGTTAAGCTAGTAAAGGTGTATCATGGAAAACCCGGCAAGCAACAACAAGGAACAGAAAAGAAAAAGCAAAAAGCCACTGATTGGTGGAATGTCAGTTTGACCATCCAATAGAGTGGTCCAATACTTAGAGGTCCAGTTTGAGTTTGATCGGCTTGTAATCCTGGTCCTGGTCAAGCTTGGACAGGGTTTTACGTACACGCAGGGCAGTGAGTCGAGCTGCCGGGCTCTTGAACCAACACTCCTTCATGATCTTGGCAATCGTAGACAGAATCTGGACAGGAACAGAGACACTGAAACTGAAATCTGATTTAAACATTGCATTTCTCAAAAACAACAAACATCTTGAAAATAAAAATGAAAATAACATACAGCAGAAATCAAGTAACAAATGTGTCTCAAATCCCACATGGGAAATTTCAGTAGTAAGCATGCTATATATCCATGTTTCCATAAACCAAGACTGGTGGGAAACACCTTCTAACATAATTATTTATGGGTAATGCAATAGCTGTGCTTACGTTTGGGAAAATGTTCACAAAAAACCAAACCCTAGGTAACTCTTAGGTGGTTTTGTCTGGTGTGTTAGGCTGTGAGATGCCATTTCCCTGGTTTGTTTGCAGGATGTGTTATAGCAGCAAATCTGTAACTGGGGACTCACTGGGTGGGAGTGTAGGCGGTTGTGGAGACTGGGTCGCTGTTGGTCTGCGCAGACCACCTTCCTCATCTCCTCGAAGCTGGGGTCAGCAGGCACTGCATCAAAGAACGGGGGCTGGTACTCCTCGACAATTCCTGGGGCACGGCAAAAACTGGCATAAACCATCTGGAACTTACTTCAGAGAACGTTTCATGGTGTGCTGACCATTTGCTGCATGGGTGAAGAAATGACCTCCTTGATGTGTACATCAAGGCATACGACACACACCGCTTTGACAGTTAGACATGGTACTGAACTGGTTTCTTCTGCCTGGCAGCAGCCGTACCACCTGCAGTTTAGGAACTTCCCCCTAAAGCTAAGCAGGTTTGGATCTGGCCACTACTTGGATGGGAGACCAACTAGGGAAGCTGGGTTGCTGCTGGAAGGGGTGTTGGTGTGGTGAATGGTGTGGACCCAAATGCCCCAGTGCAGTGACAGGGAAGCTGTGCTGTCTAGTGGATGAGACATAAAACTAAGGTAATAAAAGATCCCAGGGCATCTTCTGGAAAAAGTAGGGGTGATACCCCAATGTCCTGGATAAAACCACCCACTGTTTCAAATCTGGTCTCCTCATCATCCCCTGTGTGTAACTGGTGAATTCCCTTAGCTACTGTGTGCTGAGCCTAGTGGCACAGAATGGGTGCTGCACAGTGGTGGTTGAAGTGGCTCCCCGTCGCTTCTGTAAAGCACATTGCGTGTCTTTAAAAGCACTAAATAAATGCAATGTGTATTCAGGATCCAGCAGGATCTGAGTCTTTCCTCAGCTCTATATTAAACCAAATATCTTGTATAGTTTTCAGAAATGTGTTAGTTGTAAATTGCAATGATAAAATGCATAGTTGATGTGCAGATATGAACAAGAATACAATATCATTCTATAGTATAAACAAAGCATGTCAAATTTTCTATACTAAAACAGCCACATGTGTAACTGTGAACTCTATTCAGGGCCAGAATTATAACTGTTTTATATTTAATTAAAAATGCAATCTTCCATACAATTAGATTTAGTTACACAACCTCCCAAGCTATTGAGTTATGTAATTCTGTACACATTCATATTGGATTATAATTGTGGGTCAGAGGAGCTATGGGATGCGAGACGGAAATGTTAAGATAAACAGCCTGCTATACTGAGAAGTAGAGAGTTGACTTGTTCCCCAGAACTGGTAGCATGTTTTTTCTCAACTGTGTGGTGTATTAGCGTTTGGGTGCTGAAACCAGATAAGACTGTTTATAATTTCTGAACTGCTAATCAGGACATGGGATGTGACATGGGATGTGACATGGGATGAACAACGAGATGGCTGAGAAGCTGCACATCATCTCTCTCTAGCTCTCCATGACATGATTTCCTTTCCCCTTTTCACTCTGGTCACAAAACCAAGAATCTAAGAACCATTAAATTCAATCAGTCAATAAAAAATGCATAAAACATTCACATGCTGAGAAGGACAGGGATCGTACTGTGTGGGAAGGTAAAATCTCAGTCAAATCCCACTTGAAATGCAGCCAAAGCTTAATGCTGATGGGACGACCTGCTGTTTTCATTGTGCAGTTGCTGCTGTTGGAAAATAATGTTTCCATTCAGATCAACAGTTTTTATTTTTTGTTACCGAGATACTTTGGGTTAAAACCGATGTGTGGGTTTCTGGACTGACAGCAATAAGAGCTGCTTAAAAAGGACGGAAAAGGAGCACTTTCTTTAGAAGCTGTTCTACGATTAAAGAAAACAACAAATAATATTCTGTCAGGACAACAGCTGCTTTCAGACACTTGGAATTGTCTTGCAGGATCAAGTAAAATGTATAATATAAATACTGTGTTTTCATGTGTGAATCCAGACACTATAAACTGAGGGCAATGTGACTGATCTAAAAGGAAATATGTACAAGAAATGATGTTGGATTTTACCGTTAACGATAGTCCTGCGAGTGATTTCCCAGAGAACCAAGCCCAGGGCCCATATGTCTGTCTGTTTGTAGGACTCGAAGACGTCGGTCCGAATGCTCTCGTCAAGAACCTCCGGGGCCATGTAACGCTTTGTTCCCACCCGGGGGTTAGTGCCCACGTCCAGGTAGTCCGTAGTCTGAGAGTGCATGACTGCCAGGCCTGAAAAGACAGCTAGCTGCGTCACCAAATGGGGTCTAACAGCAATGAATTCCTGCTCCTTCTCGGGGAACCCTTCAGTAAATAATGTTTTTGTTTTGTAGGGGCTAAATTGTAAGTTAATTAACCAAATGGGGGCTAAAACAATATCACAATAGCATTGAAACAGTGTTGTAAGAAATAAACCCACTGCAGGTAGAACAACCTGAGGCTATCAAGATATACTGAGCAACCAGACAGCTGGAAACCAGGGGTAACATGTATAAAACACAGACTTGATCCATCCCACTCACCCAGGTCGGCGATGCAGCACTGGCCGTTCCTCTTGACCAAGATGTTGCGGCTTTTGAGGTCACGGTGGGCAATGGCAGGCTTGCTCTGCGTGCTGCCTATCTCAGTGTGCAGATGCACTAGGCCGCATGCCACAGACAGGCACATGTGCAGACAGCCCTCGGGGTCCAAGGTGCTATACTGAAGGAAGTCATAGAGCGAGCCCAGCTCATGATAGTGTGTAATCAGCCAGAGCTGGGTACTCGAATTTTTGGATGTCATGTCGGAGGCAATGAAACCTGTGATAAAATGGAAAGAAAAGTATTGTGTGATAAATTTGAAATAGGCGACAGAAACACGTTGCCCTCTGGTTGCTGGACGTCTCACCCAAGATGTTGTCATGTCGAAGCTGAACGGTGTTATAGATCTCGGTCTCACGGAACCAGGACTGCTCATCTCGAGAGGAGAAGATCTTCACGGCCACATTCTCGCCCATCCAGGTTCCTCGCCACACCTCGCCGTAACGGCCCTTCCCTGGGAGCAGAGTGAGGGGCAGTGGGCTGCTGTCACAGACAGGCACAGATTGACAGAGGCTGGCCAAAACAGAACAGATTTGTCAGAAGACTCCTGTGCTCCACTTGCCTATCGCTGGAAAACCCTCAGCTTATATAAGCGTTTCGGCTGCTTTTTGAGAGCGGTCAGTAAGACTGGGTGGAACAGATTTAAAGTGTGAATGGAACAGCCTGTCTTACCCACACACTCCACAAGAGAGATCTGCCGGGCCATGGTTCTCTGTACCAGGTAAGGCAGTCCCGTGCCACTGCCAGACGTGCAGAACTCTTCAAATATCTCCTGCCAAAGATGGGGAGGCAAATTCCTTTTTACTGGCATCAGAATCACAAGGGACACGCACACCCTTGACTGCCAAATCTCTACAAACTCCACTTCACAAGAATCCTTAGCAGCAGTGTGTTAGAGCCGCAAATATGAAACTCCGAAGCTGTTCTCTCCCCTCTTGCCCAACTTAATGTTGCGAAACACACATCCAAACTGATTCTGTGACTTACAGGAAACAGGTTGGAACGGGTGGATGTATGGCAGCACACTAAAGTACTGAATCACCCCAGAGTGGAGACAGGGCTGAATGACTGTTAAAAACCCACTTAGACTAGATCAAAATTCCCAAGCTTGCTGTATTACATTTTAGCAGTACCAGTTTTGAGGAAAACTCCTGTTCCCAAGTGATGAACTAATGCCTGATTTTTTGGAAATTGTGTCTTACTAAATGTGATGAATAATCACCAGCTTCTGTCCACAGTCCCAACCACACGACAACCCAGCCGCTACTTGAGTTGCCCACGTCTTGAGCGTGACCCAGTGGCATGAAACCTACCCCGTAGGAGGGGTCCGCGCCATGGGGGAGCTTCAGCATGTTGGGGTCATGGTCTTCCAGCCGTGTCATCCTAAGGCGCTTGTGATGCAGGCAAAACCAGCACACCAGGCCAGACAGGCCCAGCGAGAGAACCAGCACCACCAGCAGGGGCACCCCCACCAGAACGATCATGCTTTCTTCCCCTTTTGTCTCAACTACTGGACAAATGGAGAGAAGAATGGCCCTTATACAGGAGAAGGGTCTGAACCTCTGGTTAAGGAAGGTGTTCACAGCTAGATTCAGTCCCATTCCTTCTCAGAGGTCCAGCACAGTCTGTCTTACATTCTCCTTTATAGTACAGCAGCACTCCGGCAAGTTCTCCTAATGTAACAATTTCATTTCCAGTTCCCAATAACAGACAATTTGATGTCATGCTTAGATCTGTAAATCCATCCTTCTCCCTTTGCCTTCTCTGCCTACATGGCAATGGTCAGCCTTGAGCTTGGGTCAGGAAGCACATGGCATAAAGGCAGAGAGCACCAGGATGTGGGAGTGCAGAACACATTCACACACAATCAAGCAATGAGCAATTTACTCCGCTGTTCATCTACAGTGGATATAGAAAGTCTACACACCCTTACTGAAACTTAAGGTTTTTGGTGATGTAAAGCGGGAAATCAAGGTAAGTTTTGTTAGATATGTAAAACATGCATAACTAGCATGTAAGTGTACCTCAAGATTCTAACATACCTTAACCACTTTAATATACATTATTAACAAACATTATATGATGATAAGAAACATTAAAGTTGTATAATATAATGTTTGTTACTAATGTATATTAAAACTGTTAAGGTATATTAGGATGTTACGGTATACTTACATGCTGCTTATGAATGTTCTATGAATGCATAATGAATGCAATGTGAAGCTGCAATTAACTATATTATTTTATTAGCCACTGCGCCTATCTGCTACCTTAATGATAACATATGACTAACATGTTTGTTGGCTAACTGCTTATAGATAAACAGCTAATGTTAAGGTGTGTGCCGGTCAAGTTAACATTTTTGATAAGTGTTTAATAGTTCAGTGTTGCTGAAACGCGAGCTTTACCGACCTCGTGAAATTTCTCATAAAGACCAGGATGTTGGTCTTTAAGATGCTTCGCCAGGTTTGACGTGCTACTTGACTTCGTCGCCACAACTTTGTAGCGCTGTTTGCATAGAGGCTTATCCACATCCTTAGCCTTTCCATGCTCGTCTGCAAAATACTTCCAAACGGCACTTTTGCATTTTTTATTTTTTTTTTTAACTAAAGCAACTTGCAAAGTGCCTTCAATTGCGGCCACGTTCGGCCAACTCGGTATGTGTGTGTTAACCAGCAGAAATGCGTTCTGTGGCTATTGAGAGGAGGGGAGGGGCTGTGTGAGTGTTGGTGCATGGGCGCATGCACGCCTGTGCTGTAGTGGTGCTGTGTGGCAAATGAGGCAAAAGCCGCACTGTTGGTATCAATAATGGTGAAAATGAGTATCTAATCAGATACTAATTTTAAATATCGATTAGTATCTGAGAATCGATTTTCTGACAACCCCAGTGTCTCATTATTTTCAACTCCAGCGTCAGCTATATCTTCCATTTCTGATCTTTCAGAAAACTACCCTACAAAGTTGATGACAGGACAGAGGGAAAACTAGGCTATTAAGACATATATAGCAACACTGAAGGACTATCTCAAAATATTAAGATATTTTAGCAAAAAAAAAACCTGCAGGCCCCTGTCAGCAAGCTGAAGAGGAACTTGACCTTCCAACGTAACGGCCTGAAGCGTCATGCGATCGAAGTCTTAAAATGGCCTGTTAATGATCGATTCATTCTTCTCTTGAATTTTGGTTTCATGATCACATTAAATATGGAAAATTGTCTGAAATTATTTATCTTGTAATTTCAAAAAGAGTGTGTTGACTTCGCATATCTAACCGTAACTCCTCTTTGGGTTTGCGCACCTGAAGAGCATCAAGCAGGAGACCCCCCCCCCCCCCCCCCCCCCCCCCGCAGCCCTGGAGATGCCGGATTAATGAAAAGCCTCCTAAATCAGCGTTGGCACTGAGTGACCCCTGAGCGAGATTCTAAAAGCACGAGGTGTCGGCGCTGCCTGAGATGAGCACTGACCTGGATCTTGGGGGACGGTGGTGTTGGCGTTGCAGAGGTGAGAGGAGCAGCAATGAACAAACAAGTTGGGCAGGCGGGTCATGCACTGCTCCTGCTGGGCCCGCTGGAAGCAGCCCCTCTGGTCCTTGCCCCCCAGCATGATGTAGAAGCAGCGGTCACCCCAGCACGTGCCGTTCTCACAGCTGTACCTCCTCTCACAGGCGCAGAGCACTTTGCCCTCTCCTGGCGTGTCTGAGGGTTCTGGCAGATACAGACACACACGCAGTAAGAAAGGCGTGAGCACATGTCCATCTTTAAAGGACCTGCTGACAAACTAAAATGCAGACAAACAAACACCAAAGTGGAGTGACTGAGGAATGCACAAGTGTGCTCGCAGAAACATCAAACATGCAAAGAATAAAATGTACCTATTTCTAAGTGAAATTATATTAAGAAGTGCTCTCAGATAGAGGGATTGTAAAGTGGAAGGTGAAAGGGGGACCCAAATGGAGTTTACAGTAAAGGGGACAGAAGAATGAGACAGTGATGGGTCTCAAACAGGGACTCAAGTAGAGTTTACAGTAAACTGCAATCAAATCAAATAAGTTCAGCTCAACCATGCTCACTGAAACCAAGTGACAGGATGACATTCTTAACAAGGGGAATGACAGACACAGACAAAACAGAGAGACTGGGCCCAGCTGAAAGACCCTGAGAGCAGAGGCGAGGGGCAGGTGGCCTGCGTGGTCCCCTGGGGGCTGGCTTGTGTTTCGAGGTCAGCGATAGGAGCATCAGGGGCTGTAGTTTTATGCACTACAGGAAGACACACGCTTCCTTTGCCCCATTGTTCTCAGAACCATCTCCGCATCTGCTCCCGCCGATCACCCGCCAGCCACACACAGCCTCTTTTATAACCACTCACTCGTTCCCTTCTCATGCAACATGCTGCCACACTGGTCATTCAAAGGGATGCTGTGCATCTGGATGCTAATGCAATATAAAACTAACCCGGTGTTTCCCAATCCGGTCCTCGGGGATTCACAGACAGTCCACGTTTTTGCTTCCTCTCAGCTCCCTATCGCTGGGAGGGAGCAAAAATGTGTATTGTCTGGCAGGGGGCTTGGAGGGAGCAAAAACATGGACGGACTGTGGGTCCCCAAGGACCGGATTGGGAAACACTGTGCTAACCAGATAGCACAGATACAGGTATGTCCAGGAGATGGATTACTGACTGCACGCAACCCAGACTTACCTGCTAGTCCCAGCCATAGTCCCAGCAAGGCCAGCAGCTGCATGAACACCTTGACCCCCTTCATTTCTGTCAAACAGAGAGAGCTTCATTTCAAACACCCTTTGTCAGGGTCCATTACAGCTTGGTGCTTACAGCCAGGCTTATGGGAATTTAAGGCTAAAACTATTTGAGAAATCAGACCATAATCTCACCACCCCTGTGACTGACCCAGCATGCACTGGATGTGGAATGGACTACTCTGGCTACATGGAATCATTTTGCATTGTGTCAAACAACACGAACAGAATCAAGGCCACAATGGGGTAATCCAACTTCTCCTTTTCTGCAGCTATTGTCAAAGACCCCTGTCATTTGCAGAGGGCTATTGTCACAGCCGTATACAATCTGCTGCACAGCCCAGCAGAAACTGAGTGGGTGTGACATCATTCCCTACACTGTCTACACTTTCACACACTTCTGTAAAACAAGAATACATCAGCAAGTACTCGACATTTGCTTTGCTGTCCTCTAACAGTGATGCTGTATCATTCTCCCTTATTTCAGTACCATTTCTAACAGAGTTTAGATAAAGATTTGGAGACAATTGAAATGAATTAACTCCATGGTGTGCCTTCATAGTTGACATAATTTTAATTTAAATAATATTATCACTTTATTTATTATCTACTACCTATTGCTGCCAACACTGATAATCTCTTTTCCACATTTAAAAAATCAGTATAAGGAATATTGAACTGTTTGTAACTGATAATGTTAACTAAACTTATACTGTCCAATCTGTTAAAAAATAAAATTTTAATGTATGAGTAAGTGGTAAGGAATGTCTGCTTATTACTTCATTAGCTTCTCTCTTAGTTAAGTTCTGGTTTGGTCTCAAACTTAGACTATCCTGGTTAAGGTCTTCATTACTTTGCTTTTATTTTATAAAGCCAAATCGCCAGTTTCTTTCCCCTTCATCCCCCTCCCTGCTCCCTTTCCATCCGTCTGCCAAACGGCCATCTCCTTCTCCCACTCTTTCTCTTTTTCTCTCTGCCTCTCCTTCTATGGTCATCCACTCTCCTCCTCCCACGTTTGTTTGCTTGACTCTCTAGGTATCTGTACTAAAATAGAGAGCGCGGTCCCCAGTCCACAAACAGAGGAAGTTCTGAGCACAAAGACAGCGGAGTGAAAGGGTCCAGGCTGTCTGCCTGCTTCATAATTGCACCACTTAAAACGGGGACGCGAGAGTGTGAGCGGGGGTCTGAATGCCGGCCCGGCTCGCCGGCTATTCCGCATTCAGAGTAAATATTGACAGTTATGATTCCTGCCACTGAGGGACCACACCCAACCTGGCAATATTTTACATCCATGCGAATAGGATGGGGATGTAAACGGGACACCGGGGGCCTCGGTCTGCATATATCGGAGCTGACTGTCCTCCGTTACAAATCCAGGGTTCACCATCCAAAGTGCCAAGTGTTAAAGTGAAGGTCAGACAAACTTAAGTTTGCGTGGCTCTTGTACAAGGCTGGTATGAAGCATGGATTGTACGTTTCATGCTTGGTGGTGACAAGTTTGGGGGGGGGGGGAAAAATCTTCAAAACAAAAAAAGCTTTTGTAAATGAAGATGTGCCTGAAGTAATCCTTGGGCAATCAGAATACATACCTTCTGCAGAGATAAACCTTGAGAGTGTAGGGTGTCTTATTTAAATGATCAATAAGTGTCAAGTGATGTGAGGAATAAAGCGATGCGATTATATTGTCTTATACTACATAGTTTGCTGAAATTCTTCCCATGATGGCACGACCACCTGTCTTGGTTTGGTGGCGCTGTGGGAAGCCATAAACAGATCCCTGCCGGAGATGCTGAAGAGTCCGATGGGACTCAGTCAGACAGCAGATTAATGTTTAGCATCATGCTGCACCAATACCACACTGATAACAATCCCATGTAAATCATCGCAGTCAGATTCAGACTAAATTAGCTCAAAAGCATGCCGATGTCAGGCGATAGCCGCCACCCACGGCTTCCTGTATCTTGTTTGCATTACGACATCATTGCCTTAATCACAGGCTGCCCTGGGCACATTAAAAAGGGCTCCTGCTCTTTGTATGGTTTAGGTCTCCAGGGACAGCCATCTCCCCTCAGGAAGCCGCTAACTGTGCCCCCCAGATGGGAAAGCGGGGCATCCGGAGGCACCAAGCAGCGTCCGCTTCGCCGTCCAGGCCCATGGCAGGAGCCCATGGCAGGAGCCCAGGGCAGTTTCCTCTCTCCGCTTTCACGTAGTTATTATGAATCAACCCCCGGTAAGTACCTGCTGGGGGGGGGGGTGTGCTGTTGCCCCTGACTTACAAACCCTGGGCAGGCAGCAGCCCTCCACCCAGTTTCACGACTCTAATGGAAGGCCATCAAACCAGCCTGTAAGTCTGATCCACCGTGCAAACTGAGACGTCCGACATGTTGCATAATCAAAACCCACATTATGTCAGTAGTAGAACCACATTGTAAATTAAAGTCATTACGCACAAAAATGGTCTGCCCAAGCTCATCCCATTTCTAATTATTCTAATTATTAGGAGGAGCTGAAATTATCTTGTAAAAGGGGAAATGGTAGGTTGTCAGGGATGTCAAACAGTAAATGTCTGATAGTGAGTGTGAGAGTAATTTTGACATAGGTAGCACCAAACCCATTGGGGATTGTATTTCCTCACTAAAATTAATGTTATAATGTAAGTTTGTATCCAAGTAGTTAAAAAAAAAACACAGCACATGACTGCCTATTATCTATTACTGCATATCTGGGGTTTTGGTATAGAGCTACTAAAATATCCCAAAGATACAAAAAACCACTCACTATCCGAGGATGAGTCTGAGTGTTTTGAGTCCATAATGTACTGGTATCTCTGTTCTCTGTAAAATGACACATTTGGAGCTGAGATTCAATCGCTGCCAAAGTGCTACATTCAAGCACAATGACAGTGGCCCCAGAAAGGAGAAGTGATATACAAATCTTTTTTTCTCCAGCATATTTACCCTGATTAGCTGCAACCTGCAGCCCTCCATATCTAACAGTAAATACTTAAAAGCAGAAGTAATGTTTCTTCAGCTATGTCCCTGGAACTGCAGTTCCTGCTAATCCAAGTCACAAGCAGCTGAAGAAAAGTGAATGATGAAAAACATATATTAACATATACTTCTTTCAATAAGTAACACGTTGTAATGGTTAAATGAGCTTATCGGGCTAAATGGTAAATTCCAGGGTTGCCACTTTGGTCAGCTTGCTGGAGTGAGATTTTCAGTTCAAGTCTGCACACACATTTACATGCAAGTAAGAGTTTTATTACCTTGTAGATAGTCTGTAAGGTTTGCAAACTACCCCAACGCTTCTGATGTAGCTATTTTCGCGTTCATAATGGAATAATATAGATTTGCCGCAAGACTTCTTGTGTGAACTCGACTCTGAAAGCGTGATTGCCACATTATGTAAATGTTGCATTATACAGATGTAGGTTATACGTTTACATATAGGCGTTTGTACGTTTCTTTGTGTTTATAAACCAAGTAGGTTACATACTGTCAACAGCTCACTGGATCCTGTTTATAATCATTATGAATCAGCCGAATCGGCTTTACCTGAATGCTTCTCTTCTTTCGACACAAGTTCCTTCGCTCGTCTCTTATTCACGAAGCTCCGAAAGCAGTCAGAAAATCAGAAATACGCCACACATGGCCCATATTAAAAAGCGGAGTGAGCTGTAATATGTTCCAGAAGTCTATGGTGAAAAATGAAAAAAAGAAGAAGAAAAAAAAACGACTCAGAAAATCCCCCAGGCTGTCCTAAGTTTTATATTAGAGTTAAACTACATTTTTCCTTCCCAGGGCACCGTACAGTTCTCTCATCAGGAGAAATAAAACTTTTTGCAAACACTTTCCGCCAGTCACGTTAGTTAAGTATTTAATGCATTATGTAAAAAACATAATCGCCGTTAGAAAGAAATAAGTATAAATTAGAGTCCCGAAACATTCGTGTACAGAAAGAAAACGTCCAGCCCCAAGTGCGCGGAGCGGGTCAGACCGTTTCCGAAGCTGAGGCTCCCGGACGGAGCCGTATCTAACACGGCATCTCCCGCATGTCTCCGCGGCTGATAAAGCGAAGAGGCAGATCTGCCGTTTGAAGCGGGACTAGTCGCCTTCCGCTCCCTCAACAAACTAACAAACATCGTCTGCGCGTCCAGACTCGATCTCTAGACAAACTGAAAGAGGCTGCCGCGTTCCTGATCTCACAGCACGATAACATATTTTAAAATATTATATAGTCCCACCCTTTGTTGTATCTGACGAGGTCCGTATGTTTCTTGGACGGCTTTCCTGTTGCTGCCGAGCCATTTAGTTTGTGTTTTTTTCCATCTGGCGCCTGTGCCTATGGTCTGCATCCGCGACTTCACAGCCCCTCAGTAATTTTAATGGATATGTATTAGATCAATACGTTGTCCATGCAGACAAAGCGTGTGTGTTTGAAGCAATTGTTTATTTCTTTTCTATTTTATTTTTACTGCAATTCGATCATTTTAAAACGTTTGTGTGTGTGAGTGTGTGCGCGTGTCAGCAGCTGGAATGCGAATGGGGTCCTTCATATGGGACCGGGATAGTCAAACCCGCTGGGACCGGCGCAGCAGCCCGGCTCCACAGAGACAGCCGGCCGCAGCGAGACAGGCGCCGCCGATAGAGCCGAGGCTGCGGGAAGGCCGCCAGCGCTCACTGCGGGCAGGGCTGACGCGCCGACCTTCCTGCACCGAGAGACCCTGGCGTGATCTTTTCAGATCACACATTCATTGGTTGTTGTTCTCCTTTAATTTGCCCTTTCCCCCCAGAACAACTAAAATGAAACACTAAAATTACCTATAATATTATAAAAATGCATAAAATACTAAAAGAAGTCAGATACAGAAAAAATCTGAGCTAAAGGGGGGTGGTGTTTGTCTCAGCAGGTTAGGATACTGTGTCTGCATAGAAGGTTGCAGGTTCAAATCCCAGGGTTGGCTGAATCATTTCACCTTTGGGCACCTTGCACTTTCATAAAAAAGGGTAACAATTTTCTGATACTGTACCCTTGTAATTGTACCTTTTAAGATACACAAATGGACTCTGAGGAACATCCCAAAGGTACAAATAGCATTAATGTACCATCAATGGTACATAAATGTTCCCTGGAGCCCATTTCTGTACCTTTACAGGTACATTTACATACAGCTAAGGGTACAATTGGCAGATCCTTGAGGGTACAGCCCCACTGACAAGCAAAAGTAAAATTTTTACCCTTTTTTCTGACAGTGTGAACAAAGCCCGCAATCCTCGATTACTCCAGGAAATGTCTAACCCTGCTTTTATATGGATGTATGTTGCCAAATCAAATAAAATGTAAATGGACCCAATAATGCTTGCCTAAACTGTGTAGAGAACTACAGTGTTTTTTTTTTGTGTGGAAAAATGTTTCTGGATAATTAATTGGGTACATTAATTTCTGTTAAGGGAATCGCATCCATTACAATCCAGTGAGGTCAAACACAAATAACTTATAAATAACTATCAGTGAAAAATGTTTCCTTTGCAGTCATCGCTCTTTCTCATGTCTCTCAGTTTATATTTTGATGCACAGCTGGAAATCCTCAGATAAAGGCTTTAAGTAGAAAACAAGTCATTATTAGATTAATAATTTTTCATCTTTCTCATTTATCAGTGACATAATGGGAATATGATGTTCCGTCGTTTTCACCATGCGTGTCTTAATATTTAAGCTGTGTTTCTAACATTAAGGGTCATAGATATAAACAAGTCCTTATTGTAGACTGACAGACAAGGAAAAAATATATATATTGGAGAATAACAGGAATGATTATTATAAACTTATTATTACTTGCTGTCAAATCAATGACAACTCCTGTCAACAGTATATATAGCCAGCATTTCTCTAGAATGTTCTGTCTTCGCTCTGGGTCTTCAGGCTTTTCAATGGAATGTTCATTACGTTAGTATTGTCATGTCATAAATTAAGGATGACAATACAGTAAAATCCCGTTATAGTGGACTAGCTTATATTATAACGGAATATCGTACGAGATCCGCTGGTCCCGGCCGTGCGCCTTTAAGAACATGCAGAAAAAGCATCGGATACAGCGGACTCGCATATAACGGAATTTCGCTTATAACGGGCAAACAATTTGGTCCCCAGTGCCGGTGATATCCAGCGCAGATACGTAGTCAGGATTATTAATAGTCATAGATTACTACATGTACAACAGAATAACCTATACCACAAGTGTGTCTGCTGGGGTGTGGCGTGAGTAAATAGTGTCCTGTAGCAACTCTGCATATAACGGACTTTGGATATAATGGACTGTTTTGCCAGGTCCCTTGAAGTCCGTTATAACGGGATTTTACTGTAATGCCTTTTTATAAATGGAATGTAAGTTAAGTGTAATCAGTGGGTTATTACTCCCAGTTTTGGATGGTTTTGCTGAACTGTCTAAAAGTGCGTTCATCAGTCTTGAATGTCTTCAAAATGGACATGTATTTTTTGCTTGTGGCAGAACCAGCATATCTGCCACATATATATTTCTGGATAAATTAATGACTAGAGGTCCCTTTCAAGAGCCATCGATTCATTAATTGTCATGCTGTCTCTACATAGCCGTAGATATTATAAGGTCAGTAATTTTAAGATTATGAATGCTGACTTACGCTGCCTTTTAGGATTATCTGGCCTTATCTACATGAAAAACTAATTCGACGGCAGTTTTCGTGCAGAGGAACGAAGATTATTTATAAATCACATTTTTAGAAAATAGGGAACTTTCTGTCTCACAAAAGCCACTGTAGTTTAGTTGCAATGTTATGCTGGTCATATTCTGTTTGGGTCTTATTTATTTATTTTGTACATATCTAAAGGAAACAATCTGGCACCATTGTTTTGTGAAAAATCTCACTTGCCTGCATCACCACGAGGCATTTTCTCGAGATCCGCACTGGCCGTCTGTCAGACGACAACCTTTGCACTGGGCAGATTGTGGGTATTATCCTGTTTCCCCACTTGCCTCTTGTGTTTCTGATTGCCTTCAGTCAGTCGATGCTTTCAGTGTTAAATCCACATTCCAACATGATTTTCTTTCCATAAAGAAAGAAATGATTATTGTCATTGCCTGGTGCAGTTGTTCCTCTTTCATTCTTTTGTACACTGTTCTGAAGACTGACTTTTTAATTTAATTGCTCTAAATTGTGCTTACATGCCCAAATGATTCTAAATCAGCACTGTAAGGTTTTTATGGAACTGGGATTGATTAGATACCACATCGTAATTAACCCATAATAACTGATGCATTTGTTCACAGTAATTGCATGTGTCACAGAACTGTTGCATTTTTAAAACATTTACACCCCCCCCAAAAAAACAGAACAGAAACAATTTTATTGTCATTGAAAATCTACCCATGTATACAATGTACTGGTTTTATTTTCCTAACAGTGCATGTGAGTGTATATACACCAACTGTATGTCAATGTGCTGTGGTGGCCGTGGTCTTATTTCCAGAGCATTTTCTCCAGCCTCAACCCAGTTTGTGTGGGGTTCTACTTTTTCATCCCATGCTTTATGTGGGTTGGCATTTCTAAATTCCCTGGTGTGTGTGCCCTCTGCTTCCTGTGGTGACCCTGAATTGGACAGGTGTCTTATTTACATAGATACAACAAACATGCTTTTGTATCTTTGCATGGCAAACATCTAAGGAATAATGGGGGAATCTGAGCATATGTTACTCCAGAATCTCCAGAATTTATTTGCCTTCACTGATTGTATGTCAACGTTTATTTTTTTTGTTTTTCTGAAGTTTTTATTTTTACAATTATTCTGTCTTGTGGTGACTTTTTTGTCTACACTGTTGAGTCCCACTCTTTCCGGTTGCAAACGCTAACACTTTCACATGTGTAAAATACGTAAAATCTTGGGATCTGTGAAAGGAAGTTTAGTTTCGCAGAAATGTTTTTGTAAATAGATTATTATTTGTGTTGATTTGCACACTGTTTAGCTCCTCACAATAGGCACAGAGGTTGCTGGTGAGAATGACTTCATGTAGTGAAAATTAACCCTTTAAGTACAGTTTAAATATTTTTTAAAGTTGAATATTTTAAGCAGCAGGATAATAATATCTGTTGAAAAAATATGGGTAGCAAAATATCCAGTATAGATCAGACCAAATATTGATACATCAGAAGAAAAGTGTTTTTATAAGCATAATTTAGCAATTCAAAAGTGATTGCCATTGTCGTTATTTATCACTTAACCTCTGTAATAGTGGGAGATTAGCTTCTAGAAAAAGCCAATGCTCAGGTGATACGAAGTCTTGTGTTTTAATCTCCCCACATTATACTGGACGTTTTCATTGGTGACACCTGGTCGGACTTAGTGCTTTGCCTTCTTTGTCCTCTGGGTCTTATGGTTCTTGTCTTTGATTAGCGCCTCTTGCTCTACATTGAGCCTCTCTTTCTTCTTTTCCTCCTTGGCCTCCTTGTACTTCCACACAGGTGGCTCCAGGTGGAGCTTTGACATCTTCTTCTTTTTCTCCGTCTTGGGTGTGCGTTCCCCTGACTTTATCACCTTGATCTGAGGAATGCAACTGGTCGGGAAGATGCTGTTATGGCGACCAAAGTGACGTGGGAGGTAGCTAGGCACACTGCTGCAGACTATGGAGAGCTTAGGGACATTTGGCTGAGTGCCTGAACCGCCGGAGGTCAAGGGCATGGAGGAAGTAGAGCTGACAGGAGAGTCCATGGCGGCAGTTAATGACGGCTCTCTCAGCTCCCCCTTTGTGGATTGCTGTGCCAGTTCTGGTACAGCCTTACGCCTCTTTCCCAACTCTGGGGGGCTGGTGAGATGGAGCGGGCGGCACCCGGTGACCACCAACGGACTATGGATGCTGGTGGTGATGCGAACCATGTGGTCTAGCACGCCGTTGTCCTGGGGATCCCTGGGAAAGCTGATGGTGAAGGTGGACTGCAGGCACTGGGCGAGCTGTTCCCCCTTTGTCTTGGCTGCTGTTGCCTTGGCTACCAGCTCATTCAGATCTGGCCACTCTGGGATGTACCTTTCACAGAACTGCTCCGCACACGGCTGGGCCATCAGGCGCCGGAGTTTCTGGAATGTTTCAAAACGACCGGTCCTTAGCGCCCAGTCCTCAGCGGTCCTTCCCTTTGCTGTGTCTACGGCATTCACATTGGCTCCTAGTCAAAGGGAAGGTGCAGAGAGATATGCAAAAAGCACGCTCAGACAACTAGATTTTTTTAATGCTAGGAAAACTAATTTTCTCCCCCAAGTATTCAAGGAAGGAAGGACTCTTCATTTTCATTCTACCCCCTTGAGACACTACAGTATGGATGCTTTATCAGACTTTTCACTCATATGCATTGCCAGTCAGGGATGGTTTTCTTTTAACACTTGACACATCATTGTGCTGGAGAGGTAGCACCACCCAGAGGAGCAGAGCACCTCTTCTTGTTGGATAGAGATTAAGAGCTCGCTCGCTTTTTGCAACTGAGGAACCCAAGTTGCCTGTAACCCTCTGTTATGTGGCAGGATGATCCTGGTTATATTTGGCTGCTGCAGAACTCCTCCTTGTGGTTGCCAGATGGTAGTATCAGCTATAGGAGAGCAGGATACAAATCTGCCAGCCAATCTGGAGCCAGTAGTGCCACTATTTTTTAGAAGAAAGAACAAAATAATCAATAAACCTTACTGGAAACAAACTCCACATTGTATTACTCTTTAAATGTTTTAGGTTCTTTAAGACGGCATTGACAGATGACAGCATGTTTTGCATGACAAGTTATTGTGTGTTTTTTGATGATCTTCTTCTGTAAAGCTTTGCCTGTGTAGAATACGTATGACATTGTTATGTTGTTGTTTAGTCTGTGTATGTATTGTGACTATTTTTAGTCTGTGTCTGTATTTAAACTATTTTACCAGGGCAAGTTCTTTGATTATGGATGTAGGGTGACTCTCACTGGACTAATTCTTGTGATAGTAAAGTAAATGTACCAAGCCACCTTTTGAGGATCAAGTGAAATAATCTTATTACCTTAAGTAGATTTTAGTAAAAATATTGTGCTTTAATATAGGGTCTTTAACAGCCAGGGTTAAATCTGAGGCACGGTCTAGTTCACATCATCAGTGACTCTGCGTATAGGGTCGTTTGTATTTTACCCGAGTGGTCAGGGGACAGCTTACATAATCACCTTCACACCTATGAAAGCACTTTGAGGTAAGTCCAACTCAACATAGGCTAATTTTGTGTTAGTGAAGATCATGTTAAAGTAGAAATAAACAGTCTGACTCTACGTTTTTTGAATGATAGTAGTCCGTGGGAATGTGGTAGCAAGACTGTTCATTCTTACGGTGTTTGCTGCCAAAACACTGCTTCTAAACTGGAAGATAACTAGAAGTAATACAACATGTCACGTAAGAAATGCTGAACTTAGTTGCTGCAGCAGCAGACATGATGAACCAACAAAGCAAGGACAAGAGATTGTTTTGATCCGGGTTCAGATAGTGTCAGGAACTCTGGCTGGCCAGAGAGAGAGAGGAATGCAAGCTGTGTCGGGTCAAACTGGACGAGGTGAAATATTATGTTCCTGGCATTCCAGAATATCCTGTGCATGGAAGAGGAAAAGGAACTGACATTCTTTCCTACCTACTAGGTATTATTATTTTTCCCGGTATTATATACAGTATTACATTATTAGTTGTCCCTTAAAGTCTTACTTTTTAAGCACAACAGATGAGAATATAGCTGGAATACAGATCTTTTTATTCACATCAATTTCTGCACCTTTGCAAAACTGTGTTGTTAATTATGCCTGCTTATGCTAACATTGTTGTGAGAAAAGACACAGAACAGAAAAACAGGAAGAAATATCAAGGGTGAATTTGGTAACTATTATTAGGTTGTGATTGGGAATGCTCAAGTGAAATGAGCTGGTGATGGTTAAATTTGGAGATCACTTACAGTTCTTTTAATAGGTCAGCTAGAGCCACGGCAGGCTAATCCACACTCTTCTGAGAGGAGATCAGAGGAGATCAGGAGATCAGAAAACATGTCCTCAGATCTGCCTCTCAGTTTCCATGATTCTTGCATCACTGTTTGTGGCTGGTGGGACCTACATCGCGCTGAGCTTGCAGAATGCCATGTGAACTGCTGTCAATGGAAGCAGCAATCTTCTGGGTGAAAGTAACTCATAGAATTTGTAAGCGTATTCAGAAATGAAGGACCCTGTACACTTGACCATGGATATCTGACTGCAGCAAAGGCACAGATAGACTCATGCAGAGTTTTCATGCAGAGTTTCATTGATATTATAACAGGGACATTCAAGATAAAACAGGTGGACTATTTTGCTGGATATCTCTCCATGCATTTTCCTTAGTTCTGCAGGGAATACTTTGGAAGGGGATGCCAATTCATTGTAGGCTGCATACTCACAATCGGATAGTAAGGACAATTCAGAGACACCGATACTAGAATAGAGAGACATAGACACATCTCCTGAGCTTGTGGACCAACAATGCTAGCTGCTGAATCACCTTGTCACCAATTTATTTGGATTTTACACCGTAACCTTTTCCTGGTTTATCCCCCGTTTGCATCCGTGTGAATCCTGTAGAAAACCTTGAGCAGCCTTAGACACTGAGTAACTTCATGTGGTGGCCTCCTGAGTACCCGCCAGGTGCTCACCGGCCATGACCAGCGCTGTCACGCAGTCGTCACGGCCCTGCATGGCTGCCTTGATAAGAGCCGTGAAGCCCCGGGTATCTCTGACTTCCAAGTCCACGCCGGAGAAGTAGTTCAGGATGTGATTCACAATAGTGATGAAACCTGAAGAAACAGGACAAGAGGGCGTCACAAGAGGCCGACAGACGGATGGCGACACGGCTTCTTCATCCTCACTGCATTCTTCAGTCACTTTTTCATCAGTACATCTAACCTGGTCTACTGCTTAAACATAATAATGCTCATGCTTTTGCTGACTATGGTGCCTAAAGTGTTCTGCCTTTATTGTCGAAATAAGTTCTTTGGTGCTACATTGAGTACAGATTGATTATACTTCCTATACAGAATGCTCCAATTCCCCAGAGACACAATCTTGAGATTCCTCCTAATTTGAACTTCAAAAAAGTGTCCCCATGTGCTCCTTGGCCCTGTTCCTAGTCCCTGAGGCCTTGTGTTTGATGATAGTGATGTCATGTTGTTTCTGCTATTGTTCTTTTGGGACTGTGTGCCCTTGCAAAACAATGGTCGTCACAGAACAAGGCTGAGCAGCTTTGATCACCAGAAACACAAGAATGACTAGAAAGCAGCGACGTGCTTCCTGGGTAGACCTGCTTGCGATGCCATCATGAGTGCTGTGTTGCCGTCATTGTCCCGACGGTTGACATCCAGGAAGGGACAGTGGTACAACTCTAACACAATGTCCACAAAGCCCTTGCAAGCTGCCATCATCAGGCCATTCTGTCATTGAACACAGCAGAAATACAACAGCACAGCAATCAGTGGTTTGGCATTAACTAGCGTGAGTCCCAGCACTGTGGCTGGACTCGTTCTCCTACCCTGCCATTGATGTCAAGCTCCATGACCTCCTCCTGGGTGACACCCCTCTCCAGGACTCTGCGTACTGTCAGGGCCTCGTTCCTGGCACAAGCCTCATAGAGTGTAGTCCCAGGGCAGGACCAGCGCCTTGCCCGCTCGTAATTGAGGAAGATCGAATCATCAGAGAGCAAGCTCCCTGAGTCCGATTCATCCTGGGAGATGGACACTTCTGAGGAGTCATCGAGCAGACCCAAGCCCAGGTGGGGGTCCTCCGTAGCCGGGGTATGGATATGTGTCATCTGGCTCCTGTGGTCATGCACAGTCCGGGGACCCTGGCACAGTCTGCATCCTAAACAGTTCCTGACCATGTAGGTGGAAACAAAGCTTAGAATGTGGACGTGTCCCAATGTCACAATGAAAAAGATTTGAAGACCATATGAAATATGATTATATGCTGATTTAACACTAAAACAGATCATTTACCTTACATTATAATCACCCTGTTTTTTTATTATGATGATGACATTACAATAAAATACGGCACAAGGCACATTATGGTAACATATTGCTTTCTTGTAATACTCAAGTATCACCATCACCTTGGCATGGTGTGCAGCTCCCCCACAAGGCATTTTTAACGAGGGAGCGAGGCTGGGGTAACCGTGGATGGGTGCCAGTCCATTGCAGTTAGGGTTGCAAAGGGGCGTAAAATTTCTGGTAACTTTCCAAAAACTTTCCATGGGAAATTAAGCTTGGAATTTTAGAAATATTGAACTCCTTGGAACTCCACATAAGCTGTCAGATACAGCAAAGAAAGCAAACTGTATGAATAATACAACATAGAATATGACTTATAAGCAGTGTTTTGATGTAGAACCTTATTTTGGCACACATAATTACTCAAAAGCACTTGGTTACACAATGCTATCAAGATTTTTTTTTAACTACAGTGAAGTTCCCTGTTATAGGCTAACCTGCAATTTCCAGATTATTCCAATTAATTCCCATATATTCCCTTTAATTCCCATGGAAAGTTTCCCTGAATTTTCAAACCCTAATTGCAGTGCACATACACATTGTCGTGACCGGTGTCAGGCGAGCAAGCAGGAAGCGGGGAAGGACGAGGCAGGCAGGCCAGGATCCAGGACACAAGGGTTTACCATGGGGAAACGAGGGAAGCACTGGGCAGGCGGCAACAAACATTAATGACGGATCTGAGGACACGGACTCAGACGCGGACTTAGATACACAGGATATATCAAATTGACGGAAAACAGCCGGTCACAATCGGGGAAGCACATGTGGTTAATGAGGGGGCGTGGCACACACGAGGATCGTACGCGCAGGTCATGACACATATGCACGCACACACTCATCCGTAATGGGCAATTTAGTGAGTACATGTCATAGGACTGTGGGAGGAATCCCACATGACTATAAAATATATAAAAGCATCACATGCTTTGAGAAGGTATGAGACAGAAAAGGATTTATGCTCGACAAAAATCTCTGACTGGTGCCACAAGGCAAGCCAACATAGTACCAGACCTTATTCAAATGACTCCGAAAGATGGTTTAAAAAGAGGGATGCTACAAGGAAAAATTATCACTCAGTGCTGTCTTTTACTTCTTAAGAGAAGTGCTGTATAGTCTTATTTTTAAGATCATGTAGTATCTTTATTTACAGAAATATTTTAGCAAAAATGATATTAGAGTAATAAACAGTGAAAAGTGAAACGTTAAAATGAAACATGAGTAACTAAGATAAATTATCAAGGGCATCAGGAAGAAAGATCAATTGAGGTCTTTTAGCACTTTCTTTTGTAAAATGCTTTTAGTAGAGGTATATATAACTCCATATGGCATGTCTTCAGACTAGCTGCAAACCAGAAAATCCAAATAAAATCTGCACAGCACAGGGAAAATGTGCACACACATGGACATTGGCTTTTTATTGCCAACTGCGTAGGTATCAAGCTATAGTACTACCCACACTGCCACCCCGGTGGAATATTAGACCCTCATAATTCATTTTGAGTGGTGGTTATAGTGACACCATGTGGCATAAATTAACTCGTGAAACAATGTCTACAAGCCTCTCATTGTGTTCCAAATGGAACAGTATGTTCTATCTGGAAAATCAGTCTAAAATAGACAACCTAGTCAATGGTAAATAGACATAAATCCATCTCTAAAGCTGAAACCTTTAAAGACACGCAAACCCCAATGTTTCATTTTAAAGTTCATGGCAACATGGCGAGTAACGCCATAGAGTTATTTATTTGTGCTTTGAGGTAGAAGCAAAAGCTTTGCTCAGGCATTTTAAATCAATAAGTAAACACATATGACAAAGTTTCTCTTTTAAAGAATACAGTGAATTAATAAAGGAATGGCCTTGGTTATTATTTGTGTCTAGTCCAGTTTATTTGTGGCTGCAGCTTTTCACAATATTTTTTTTTTTTTACTGATGTTCTCCTCTGTAATACACTGTGGAAAAACTCCTTCTTTAGTGAAATCCCAAGCCTGGCGTTGCTTAGCGTGCATTTTCTGTTGCCCAAGAAAAGGGTGTTTTCCATTTAGTAGGTGTGTTCTTCAAATTTGCATTACTGTAGCCAAGTGCGATTACTGTTGCCAATAATGTCAACAATCAGGCAGAGACTTTTGTTACAATGTCCAAGCGAAATTTGGGAATTTCTAATTTTTACCTTTAATCTAAATGGCCGAGATAGCACTGGAATCCATATTATGGTTTACATGCAGGACTCTGCCTTGGTCGTGTAACACGTGGTACACAGCTGCTACCTGAGCAGGAGGTTGGCTGCCTTTAATTGGCTCAGATGGAGCATATGGCCTGAACTTCACATGAAGCCATGGCCTACTGTTACATCTGTCACTGACAGTCCCTCACTCGATGTCCAAATCTTCATGGCACAATTTTTTTTGCCTCTTCAGAATAAATATTAGTACTTGATAAGGATAAACTACTACTCTCTGAGGTAAATACAGTATATATCTAGCAAAATAGCTAAATTACGTAACAGAGATTTGGGAGGGGCAGGATTCACAGACCTTGTGTTAGAAATAACAGTCAGGGCAGTGTTGTTACTAGGTGTTCATATATGTCATTACAGACTTCTAACAATATAGCACAGTTCTATGTCAGCAGACATCTCTTACTCATAAAACTCATTATTCTATCTATGCTCTATTCATGTCACTCAGTGCAAGAAGATGCTTGCAGTTTTCTAATTACTGAAAATTACTCATTCTGAGAAAGCACTGTTTATTAGTGATTCTCTGCTGCTTCCATCCAAATTCAAAATGAGTTACAACCATGCCCATTTATACAATTGAATATTCTGCTATGCCTTACTGAAGATCAAATACTTTGTTGAAGAGTCCAACAGCACCTCCTGGGAGTTGAGCAGTCTTTAGACTATAAGTATGTCCTTAAGCATCATAATGACTGTCACCCCAAAGGCCATTTCAGTATAATGTTGTGTCCCATTTTATTAATTAAGTGTGGCTATATGAGATACTTTTACCCAGTTCCCTGGGCACAATTGATCATTGTATGAAATTGGTCATAATATTTCCTATGAATCATAATTTGACAAAAAAGCCATACTTGAATCCTTTCTTTCTCTACCCTTGGAAGGAATTACAGAGCTACCCAAGTCATTGAAATACCATGGTGAAATCACAATAAGTTGTCCAGTCACAATCCACTAAATGAGAGCTGTCAAATGCACAACGGAGAGAAAGAAAAATATGCCTGAGTTTTCCTAAGGGTCATGTGATTATATTTGGCAGCCTTTTCGAGTTAAACACGCTGCTGGGTCTTTCTCTGTCACAGAGAGACAGAGAAGAAGATAAGGAGAGAAGATTAAAACAGGAAGAAAGGCTCTCTCTCAGAATCACAATTGTTTCCACAGTTGACATTAAAATGTGGTGGAGTCCGTTGAATGGGGCTGTCATACGCCCAGGACCCATACAGGACACTTGGGCTGATATGAGGCGTGTTCACAGATGAACCCTTGCCATCCCATTCCAGTAGGAAGCGGCATCTGTCCCCCTCCCCACTGTGAGCCTGCCCCCCATCTCAAGCTGAGATTTCCATGTTTAGCTATCACTTTGGCTTCATAGCTCGACTGTATAGTGGTGGTTTCTGTATAAACTTTGGACATATTACTCATGAATACATCCCTAAAAATGACAATCCAAGTTTTCCCCGCGACAAAGATGTAACAGTTAGTAGTAGCGGATGTTTCACTTACTGTTAAGAAAGCCAGCCAGGTGTACATGGTCCCGCATGACTGGAGAGGGGCACAGCTGATGATCCTCTTCTGATGGGACCCCGCTGCTCTCCCAGTGTCTTCAGAGTTAACGTTCCAGCCTGCCTCTCACTCGTGTATTTTTGCTGCCGGAAAATAAGAGGATCCCCCTGAGTCTTCATGCAGGTGCCCTGCTTAATTCTGGAAGTGTGCTGCTGCTCTTCTTCCTTAGAGGAGATTTTATAGGGGGATTAAGGGGGAGTAAGAGTAGTAAGCTTTACCTGCTAATAGGCTGAAGGTCCTGGGTCTCTCTCTCTCTCACTCTCTCCTCCTCTTCCCCTCATCTCCCGTTTTGTCTCCTATTTCTCCTGAACTCTGAATTAGACTTTCTCTGCTTCTGTGAAACAACTCTTAAATAACATAATGAATAAAGTAATGTAGTCAGTTTGCTGACTTCTGCATGATTAATGGAATATGATACAGAATGAATGTGTAGAGCAGTTTCCTTCTTTGAAAGATGCCCTTTGGAGTTACAGCAGAACTTCCTCCTTATGCTACCCAAGGCGTGAACAGTGATCGGTTAGTCACATGACCAGCTTTGACCTCACTGGTCCATGATGACTCTGGCAGTTTTTAATGCTAAAGATTGTCCATAGATCTTTTTTCGAAGGATCTGTGTAATTGTATATATAACACATTATGTTATTAGTAGAATGATTAATTTATGCAATGTATTTTTGAAGTGGGTTTTGTCATAATTTATATATGAGCATTTGTTACTGCTGTCTTAATTGGTAACTGCATCACACCTGTGAGTCAGTGTCGACTCACGTTTGTGAGCCAGATATGTAAGAGGAAATGTTATTTCAGGCTGTTACACACATAGAGGTATACCAATTCTTACAATTTAGCTAATGTGCAAAGTACATGACTGTTTATGTTACACATTTCTACTGTGTTAAATATATGGATCATTTTGTTGATTTTCAGATTTAAAGGCCTTCTTTATTAATTAAGTAAAGCTTCCTAATCAGCCAGCATTGTCACATGGGCCTCTAAAGATTGCCATAGGTTTACGGGTGAGGGCACGGCAGGCTGACATACTCACACATGATGGCAGCAGGGTCCCAGTGGTGTAAGCAGGCAGATTAGGGTCGGAGTAGCAGCACAGGCTGCTTCTTCTGTGAGATTTGATGCTCCCTCAGCTAACCCAGGTCAGTGACCTCCATGAACCCTTAAATACCATTAACCCCCTATATTTTGGCACAAATTAAACTTGATACAAGAATCTTATGAACCTATATATATGTTGTATTCATATTTGCCTGTTGAATAAGTGCTATACCTTTTGTTGTGGAAAATCCATCCGTCCATTTTCTGAAACCACTGAATCCCAACTAGGGTCATGGGGGAGGGGGGACCAGAGCCTATCCTGGGAACAATGGGCACAGGCAGGAACCAGAGCCCCTGGTGAAAACCCACGCGAACACAAGGAGAGCGTGCGAACTCCACACAGAAAGGACCTGGGATTGAACCCAGGACCTCCTTGCTAACCACTGCACCACCACGCCACCCATGAACAAAGTCAAAATTAATATATACAGTATAACACTGAATAAATTAGATATTTAAAACAAGAGCAAATATAGAACTATGATGATGGACACTCTTTTGATATATCCGCATCCGAGTGCTGATTATCTTAAGAAGGAAAACACAGTGTCTAGTAGATAAACCTTTGCCTGTCGTTATTTGGAAGAAAACTTGAATTTTATCTGTAGTGCAATGACATTACAATAACCAGGCAGAGGCAACTTACACATGCGGATACATGTGTCACAGTCGGAAATGGGCAGGATTTCAATGAAAGGTATTTAAAATATGTATTTCATTACTTTTGAGTATTTTGAAATTTGTATTTTGCTGGACAGGAAAAAAATAACGTATAATTTGTAACAAAATACTTTGAAAGATTGTATTTTATGTATTTAAGATATTTAAAATACTTAATATAATATGTCATTTTATTTATTTATATTCTGTCATTTTAAGAACCTTCATCACCAGGTTTATATGCATTTAAAAATAGCACATCACTGTCTTATTTTCTTACATTTCATGAGCAAGTATTTCTAATTTGTAATAAGATATTTTTTGAAGTATTTGTACCAAATACTACGGCTACGGATTGTCGGGATCCAAATGGGTAGTTTGATCACCCAACAGAGACAGACCAAACTGATTTACTTTCATGTTTTGCATTTTTCAAAATAAAAATCATAACATTTGCGATCCCAGCAAAACTTTAAGAAACAGAAAACTTTTAAAACATAAAATATATTAAATCGGTATTGGGCGAGGTGAAACACAAGACCGATTAATCAGAAAAGCACAAGGGAAAGGAATAAATTAAGTCCAATCATGTAGTGTTAACATAGGGAAACTTACTATTACAATGTTGTTTTGGCTGTAATGCTGTAGTCTACCAGAAGGGGGCGCCATCCTGCAGCCATACGTCAGAGCGCGAAGTCAATTTTCACTTCCATTCTGTGAAAAGTATATATCACCAAGTACCAGATAGCCATGTGAGTCATTATTTCCTGGTACTAGTAATATTTTTAAACGGCTTCTATTTTCAACACTCCATGGTATCCAAATTATCTGTGAAGCAATAATGTATTGCCCTAGTTAAATGACGTTAACTTTTGCAATTAGATGCTATATGTTATGTGCAGAATGGCATAGGTCAGGAACTAATAAAATCTACAGAAATAATTGTCATCACTTCAGCTTTGTAAACATGTTTTGTCGGTTTTTAATTTCAGTGGACAAGGTGCTTATATTCCCCTGCGCTGATCAAGCAGACTGCCCAGGTACAGGAGTAGCGGCATGAAGGTTCCTTTCTAACAAAAGCCATATGTTTGGCTAATATTACCTCCATAGTTCATGCCAGAACCAGTTTAAACAGCCCTGTTGTCAGACCAGATGAGTTTTAACCAGCTATTTTTGTGTGTCTAACTTTTTGGTAACCCTCACACAAACACATGCACAAACACTTATTGTTAGGAAGGTGCATATTATTATGTATTATTACATTTGTATAGTCATGTCATAGACAGCAGTTCTAGTGAAATCAAAATTCACAAGAGTAGCAACCAAAAAGGTTTGGCATTTTCAGTTTCTTCTTCTTTTTTTAAAATCGGTTTCTTTAATAAAACATTCGCTTTTTTGACCAAGCCCCCACAACTTACCGAGGATTTTGTCTTGTGGGGACATCAAAACCTGATCCTCTAAGATAACCAAGCATATCCATTTATATATTCCTTGTGCACATACTTTCCCCCCCAGGCTTGCCTAGAATGGGTGGGCTGATGAGAACCATCTTGAGGGTTTACACAGGCCATGTGTTGCAAAGTGGAAAGTGGAAAGGATTTAAATAATGGGATGTCCTGGGAGGAGAGGAGGAACAGCGGCTGAAAGATGGAGAGAGAGATGGAGAAGGTTAACAGCACTGCAGAGGGAGCTGGGAGGTGGGATTGAGAGAAAGACTATAAGGGGAAGGATTGAACAGGGAGGAGAGGTTCAGAGAAGGGGAGGTGATGTCTGATAGCCAATGAGAAACTTGGAAACAGAATTTTTGGGAGGGTACGATGGTTAATCTTAACATAACACGGCTTTAACATTTGGGAATTTGGGAAAGAAAACAGGGCAATAGCTGAGCACGCATGAAAAGCAACTCAAAGTTATTTCCAAGCCAGCCTGAGGAGATGAACTGATCCTGAAGGAATGAGACAGTCAGGAAGGAGGAGAAGAAGAAGCCGGCTCGCCTTTAACACAGGGACATGTTTTCCGAAGTGAGTCTGCATTATTTATGTGGCTGAGGGTTCTTGGTACTCAGACAAACGAGAGAAACACTGTGGCCCATGGTGCTAAGATCCAGAGGGAACAAGTGACAGAAACTGCAGAGGCTGCTGGAGGAGGCAAAGGCAGTGGTAGAAGGGAAAGTTCTGCAGGATGAACGCTCTCCAGAAGAACCAGGGGCAGACAGACCGCATCTTGGGCGCCATGGCAGACATGCTGACCTCATTGGCCATACCCAACCACCAATGGGTAAGTCACAGGACCTCTGTGTATAAGAAACCCCGCTGTTGCGTTCGGCTTAGCTGTTTGCTGTACACCCATTCGGGCCAAATTAAAGTGATGAAGCATACTGTGTGAAGGAACTGAACACGATAGCTGGAGTAAGGAAACAACATTTTATGCCTGTAGGACCAGCTCTATGAAAACTTCCTATGGTTATAATATTATCTATGTGTCTTAGCTATCAGTAAAATGATGCTATTTCTAGAGCAAAGGTTCAGGCACAGCCTCACCACCCAATACAGTACATTTAGAAGCACTAGCTACTTTTACAGAATCTGTTTGTAGTTTTTTACAACATAGTAATTATCAGTATTGACATCATTGTGACACTGTTACAATATGACATTTTTAAACATATATAGGAAGAGCTAATTATATTGTTAATTTGTGAAGTATAGTTTTACTGTTTTGCATATTATTATTATTCTCACAATGCAGAAGTATTTGCATTAAATTGCTCATTCAGATAAACGATATAGCCCATATTTTCACAGCATACAACCTAGTTATTTCTCATGTTTTATAATTCTTTGAGGCTAGCATCAACTCTTTCCCCATTAAAAAACATTATCTTGATGTGTCCATTAAAAATTGTGCCCTTTAATGCTGGGAAAAGGGGGTTTGCTGAGGGGCATCTCTCTGACTCACTGAGTCAGAGAAACTTATCAATACCCTTGCTCGTCGGAGTGGCAGCTGATTTTTACAAGCACATTCCAGAAATAAGCTTAGATAAGATCAGAAGCATCCTCAAGAGGAAGGGAGAGATGCTTGGAGAGGTTATTGAAGCTAGCTAAATAAATCTCTCTGCTGGGCCATTCTTTTAGAAGAGTTCTGGTCCCAGGGGTTAACACTGGCATGACTGCTATGGTTAATTGTGCTCCGATAAAATGTTAACTTTTACCCCCGTGGTGGACATGCCAGAATGTCTGTTTTGTACGCTTAACGATACATGTTTACCGCGAGCTGTGGTACATGTATGGCACCTTCTTGCAGTGGTGAACAGCAATGGAGTCAGAAAGAAAACAGATTGTCATGGCCTTAAGGAAACAAACAAATCGAAGAAGAAGGAGTTACATTATCAGAAGGGAAAGAATTAAATGTAAAGATATGCCAAGTATGTAACTGCAGCAGGGATGGAGGCTTGTTTTCACCCTAAACAAGCCCTCAATTTATTTAATATATATTCATTTGCCATTTAACTTTTATTGAAATGTTATTAATTGCTTGGTTAAAACAAAAATATACCTCAAACTGTAACTTGATGTTTTATTAATGTCTGTAAATTTCACTTTATCCATTTTTTAATCAACAAATGAAATGCGAAGCATACTCTTATTTCAGCACCACCAATTAATGCAAAGCAATAATAACAGTACTAATATTTAGAGTACAGTAAAATGAAGTTGGTACAGGACTTTATGATTTATTACTTGTTTCGGGAGGGGGGGTTAGGGTTAGGGTTAGGGTTAGGTATGTTTATATCTTGCAGTTAGACTTACAATGTCACAATTTATGTATACTCTGACACCCTGAGCAACAGCACAAACAATTCAAACAATTTAAATAGCGGGTCATAAAGATGCTGCTGTATACCTCAGTGCCACTGACAGTGTTAGGGAGTAGCTAACTACAATTAGGAAGGCTACTAACTTTACTACTTCTTTAGTAGCTTATTAGTAGCTAAACTACTTTTAAAACGCTGTAGCTTTTCCAGTAACTAACTATTTACAAACAGCAATGTAGAATGGCAAAACGCTATACATCGTTAAAAAGTACTACCGGTTGCCGTCGACTTATAACCTATACGACTGATTGATTTTGGGGCGTATGACATTTTCTGCCCCAAATTCCGGTGTTCTGTCGAGTTGAGCTACTTTGTCGAGTTAGGCTACCGTAGTGCTAATCGATAGCCCTAACCCTAACTCTTACCCTAACCCGCCAAAAACCCCTTAAACCCTTACTCTAACCCTAACCCTAACCCCTGAAACCTAACCCTAATCCCAAGATGGTGGAACTGCACATGCGCCGAAAGGCTCGATAGCACGTCTCGATAGGTAGCTCAACTCGTCAGAACACCGGGACCTACGTGAACCTCGTCCATTATAGACAATATTCTATAACGTTATAAGCGGATATAACGGGATTTTACTGTAAAAAAAATATAGATTTTCATTTTACTTTTAACATCAAGTTTCACATTTTTAAATGAATCTATTTTAAGAGTATCCTACAGTATAAATATTAAGTATTAGACCTACCGGTGAAATGGCTTTGATGTAGTTAGCTACTTTTTTTCTGTAGCTTGTACTGTAGCTAACTAGCTTATGCTGTGTTCCAGTTACCTCGAGTACGAATTCCATCATCAGGGGGTGTACCATTTGAAATTTCCAGCTAGGAATTTGCAAGTTCAGAGTTCAAATGGAATGAAACCGGAAGGTCGCAGATTATCAAAAGCAGGACTGGGTGTAGGAGATTGCTTACAACAATGTAAACAATGTAAACAAACTAAAGTACCCATGTGACAGAGTAATACTTGGATATCAAGACTCCAAGGACTAACTGCATGAACCAAGTAGCTTGTGGGAGTTTTACATATATAAAAACATCTGAGGGCAGAAGGAAAATGATTGATTCAGAGAGATAACTAATCAGATTGTAGAGGAGTTGGGTCCACCTCCTCTGGTTGCTTGGACTCACCTCCTCTACAATTTTATTGGTCATCTCTCTGAACCAATCATTTTTCCTTTTGCCCTCAGAACATTTTTGTGTAAGTAAAACTCCCATGATCTTGAAATGACCCCTAAATGGTGTAAATAATTACTTCTTGGTTGCTTTAGTGGATATTTGTTCAGTTCCATGTTGTTCCAAGGAAAGCACCATAAATCTGGCTCTAAATCAATGTGGTCATATATGTCAAAATTTATCTTTACAGAAGTTGACTGAAGGCTGAGCAGGTGCTGAAGCTGTGCTCCATGTAATCAGAAGGAGTTTATGAGAGTGTTTCACACTGTATCCCATGGTTCAGATTTCAGATATCAACAAAGATGGCTGCTCGATGGATGGAGAGAAGCAGGGAATAGGACAGATTGACTGGGGTCCCGTAGGAATGGCCTGGGAGCGAATGCCACCAGACTGTCTGGAGAAGACTGGGAAAACAGGAGCAGGTAAGGGGGTGTCAGCATCTGTTTGGCTGCTCATTATACACGGCAAGAGACACGTGCATGAGGGCAAAAAGAAGCCTGAGGGACAAATGTTCCGACACCAGGTGCAGGACAGGATGATGGCAAGGAATCACTGCAATTACTGATAAATGACACAGTCTGGAAAAAAATGCACATGTTGCACATATAGAATTATACTCAATGTGATGAAACTCAGAGGCGTCAGAAGCATTTTGAATCTGGGGGGGACACACTGGCATAAAACTAATATTTTATGTTAAATGTGGGTGGGTCCAAACGAATAATTATGAAATGTGAGGGGGACACGTCCCCCTCAGATTTAATGGCAGCGACGCCCATGATGAAACTATATTACATGGTAAGTCCCCAGGATAACCACTGAAAAGAATTTTGAAAAAAAGCCTCTTCCACTTGGTTTCTTGAATCTATATTTACATTACTAAACCAATTATTTTACATGAAATTATGTAAATTTGTTCAAGTTGGATTAAGGCAGGCATCATGATTATACAGCCATACATTTTCTGATACCGCTTGTCCTATTGAGAGTCATAGGGGGTCCAGAGCCTATGGGCAGAAGGCAGGGACCCAGGATGGCACGTCAACCCATTGCAGGGCACACTCACGTACTATTCACTCACACAAGGACCCAGGATGGCGTGCCAACCCATTGCAGGGCACACTCACGTACTATTCACTCACACAAGCACACCTACGGACAATTTCATAACTCCAAGTAACCTCCGCTGGTTTTTGAACTATGGGGGGAAGCCGGAGTACCCAGAGGAAACCCCATGACATCATGGGGAGAACATGCAAACTGCACACACATGGAATGTAGGCGGAGACTCAAAGCCAGAGGTGTGAGGTGACAGTGACAACTACTGTGCCATCCTCCATAAGTATCCAATATAGGTTAATGGCAAGCTGGGATTTTTATGGGGTGAATTTTAGCTGGCTAAGAAGCTATACCTTTGGAGACTCATATGCAAAGATGCCAGGGGGGTTTCACTGCTGTACCTCTGAGGTGAATGTCTGCTTTAGGGTGTGCACTGGTTAATTTGCTAGATAATTTATCTCTTTACCCAGTTCACCTGGGTTCATTACCATTGTTAGGTGCCTTCAAGTCAAGTTTGACTTAGCATTGATAGGATATTGTAATTTCAATAAGTTTTATTTAAAACTAATATAAAATTTAATGGGTGTAGTACTATCAAATCAGATCAACAACAGCATGATGACACCACAAGAGAAACCATTATAAAGATAAGATGTATAAATTATGGATTTATAAACTGCATGTACTGTAAATAATTGTTAATTTTCACTATATTGCCCTGTAACTGTGTTTTCTAAACATTTTGACATACTTCCATTACTATTAATTTTAGTAAAAGGGATGAAGTTATATATAAATAGTTAAATCTGTGCTGTTTACAGATGGTTCTCTTTGCATATCCAGTATCTGTAATGTGGAGCAAGATGTGGAGTAAGTAATGTGCTACATTAAGCGTGAACAGTGCACAACCTACTTTCTCTGAACTGTGACCCTTAATCCCACTGTGGAGGTTTGTGTTAACACAAGGAAAGTCATTCACACTAAGTAAAGAACGCTATGTGATTTTCGTTAAGGCTTTCATCAGATCTGAGGTTTTTTTTGGCGTTATCTGGCATCTTGGTAATAAGCAAGCCACCGGGCTTTGCACTGCGGGGGCCAGGAAGGCGGGTCAGCTTTGGTAATGTAGCACAGAGGAAACTGGAAGCAGCAGGAACATGCTGAACAGGTTCCAGATGTGCGAACAAACTGCTCACCTTCTTCCTTAAATTTCCTTAAAGTTTTATAATCAGTGTTTGCCATTAATCTGATTGTGCCCTAGTACAGGATGCTGCATATCAGAGAGAGTGTAAATACTGCTGGTGATCCTTGTCTTGGGCTGTAATTGCCTTACATGTTGGTGCTGAGCTGGACTCTGGCAGGGAGAGATTCACAGTAAGACTTCAATCATCTCTGCTCCTTCTCTTCTTTTGCCCTGTATAGCACACAGTAAAGACTTCAATGCACTTATTTACCAAATTCTCGATCATCCACATACATTTCTTGCCATTAAATGGAATTTAATAATAATAATAATAATAATAATAATAAATCATGCAAAAACACAAAGATGGAGAACCAAGTTATATATATTACTGGATTTGGCACGACAAAGTGAATTGAACTTGAGATAAAATTTAAGTGTAGGACAAGTAGGACAAGAGATATCGACCAAAACGTGTTGTGGGGCGCAACGGCGCCCCCCTCTGACTGATTGGGACGGGTCGGAGGGGCTGAGTAGTGGGTAGCCATAGGCATCTTACTGCCAAATTTTGTCAGCCTAGGCCTTACAGTTTAGGCTGGGCATTCAGTTTTAGGGAAGAAAAATAATTATAATTGAACCCTCTGGAGGAGTGCCTGAGCCCGTCTGAATGGCAGGTTTAATAATAATAATAATAGAAGCTTCATTGACCTTCATGGGGAAAACACCTTTATGTTTCCCCACTTGCTTTACGGAGAGCATCCTGCGCACATCGGGCTGTCTAGCTCGAGGACCCACCGAAGCTGGGTTCGAACCGGCGACCTTCTGATTACATGCATGCAAGTTTAGCCCACTGAGCCACCCGCTGCTGTTGGTCAAATGGGTGAGATCGCTGGACACCTTCCTACCTGATCTGGTGACTCATTTTACGTCAGTTAGCCTAGGTGGGTCTTAGACATATATGGATAGTGGCTATAGCGCTCTCGTTTGACCGATCGATACAAAATTTGTAGGGTCTCTCTGTGGTACAGCTGTACAATACTATGCAAAATTTGGCAATGATTGGCTGAAGCATGCCTGAGATACAGCTCTCTGATTGAAATGGATGTGGCAACAGTACGGTCTTGGTGTGGCTTTTGGCCGTACCTTATCGAAAGTTTAAGTTTTTTTCCCTAAATCTTTAAAAGGATTGTCTCTTGATGTAAATGACAACAGACTTATGTAGGTGTGGTGAAAATCCTAGGAGGTGAACGAAATGACTTGTTTTCAGAGAATAATAATAATAATAATCAATACTTTATTGATCCCCGTGGGGAAATTGTCTTTATACCTCCCTCAACTTGCTCTTTTGTAGGGTAACCTGTCCGCGAACACATTTACACATGAAAAACAGAGACATGTTCTGTAGAAATGACTTGCTTTTGACAGCTTGGTTACATTTTTGCTTAAGAAATGAAGGCATGAAATAAACCCTAAGTTGTCTGAGCAGGTGTTTTTTTTTTTGTTTTTGTTCAACTCTAGTGCTGTTCTTTATTGTCTAATCATTATGCATGCAGGGGACTGTTTTGCGGTATTTCATTTACTATTATTCGTGAAAGGTGTTAAAAAATATGTTTACTGAGTTCATGGAAGGAGTCACAGTCAGATTCAATTATCTGTCGCCTTGATCAGTTGGCTGGTTGAAAATCACACCAGCTAATGGATTCTTCTCCTCATGCACCATCCTTTTCTGCAGTTCTTCAACTTCCAGGAACAAGAGTAACGTCGACTGCAGGGAGTTTATATTACATCCAGTTAGAGTTGGTGGGCCTCACTTTGCTTGTGCCTCTTGCTTACCTTGTGTGTCGTTGTGCAGAGAAGCGAACGTGAAGGATCACCAATCTGGTGGGTATTTGGAGCTCAAGAGCTGCTGGCGGCTTTGGCAGAGACTCAAGACTGTGCCATTGTTTATGACCTCATACTTACCAAGACCACTCGCCTTACTTCCTTTGTTCCTCCCACAGCATTCTGCCCCACAACAGCTATTTTAAGCTGCCATTTCCCTCATTATTTCTCGCACTGTCATCAAGAAGGTCATTTTTCGGTAATAAAATATACTGAGAGCAGGGAGATGACTCATAATGAAGTTCAGGAATTGCTGACCACATGTATGCATAGATGGTACAAAAGAATGTTCTAATTTGGGAGTTCTAAGCTTGGGAGTGTATATCAATATCAAAAAAGGAATGTGCTATGGGTTTAAAACTAAAACAGGACATACTCTGTTATATTGCGATATAAACTCATCAAGAGGTTGACTACACCATGTATAAAACTGAGGCAAAGTATGTAAATATCCAGGATGAAATTTCAGCAGGGCCGACTACTAACAAGTTCAAATTTTTTTAAGATATAAATAATCTGTGTTATTGCTAATGTTTGGGTAAAAATATATATTTTACCTGCCCATATATATTCAAACCTTGTAGTCAGTGCAGGGTTGTCGGGTGACTTGGAACCTGTCAAAATTCAGGATTTGCAACATTGTGACGTGCAAGGACATCTAATGGTATAGGCATAAATAAATAAACCGATGTTCCAGGGAGCACAAGGCAGGGTGTGTTCTGTGCAGAATACTGCATGTATTATGTGCAAATTAGTAACAAGTTCATCTAGTTGCCTGTATTTGGAGTGGGAAAAAATTGGATCACCTGAAGGAAACCTGTGCAACTTGGGGAGAATAAGATGATCTGCACAGATGGAATTGAGATGGGATTTGAACTCCCATCCCTGAAACTGTGAGGTGGCTTCTACCATCTGGAATTACTCCCTTATTTAAAGGGATTAATGTTGTCAAAGACAATTTAGGCATAATTTCACTGAAAGGAATCTGGACACTGTATACAGATTTTGCACAATCCAGTGTGATTCCACGCAATCCACAAATAAATGAATCTATTTCTGATCCAAAAGAAGCAGTATCAGTTTACATAAATAGTCCAGATGAGGGCAAAAAATCTTAAGGAAGAAGCAAAATAGTCACAACTCTTTCCAGTGACTCACAAAATCCAGACACACGCTCCTGCTGCTTGGTTGGCTGTCTGCTGTGACTGGAGACAGAGCTCTACCCCTGGAACCTGTCAGATAAGTGAGAGCACTTACACTGGTCAAATTTACGTTTAATTTAGAGCTGCTTCTGTTCAGGTC